TTTTTTTTGTCTTTTTGAGACAAGGTCTTGTTATGCAGCTCAGCTGGCCTTGAGCTCACTTTGTAGTCCAGGCTGGCCTCGAACACGAAATGATCCTCCTGCCTCAGCCTCCCCAGTGCTAGGATTATACGTGTGCGCCACCAGGCCTGGCCTCATTTAAATCGCACCAATGGCGCAGACAGTAAGGTCAGAGGGTTTTTGACCTCCACAGGCCTGGAGCAAGGATGGGCTGTTGCCTAACCCAGCACCCGCCCGTTCCAACCCAGAGGTACCCCCCCGACCCACCAGCAGCACATCCGTGAAGCCACAGCCGAGGAAACTCCAGGGGCTGCGCGACCCAGAGCCCAGCCCTTCACAGGGCCGGGGTGGCGGCCCCACGCTCACTGTGGCAGGCGCGAGGCGGGGGGCTCCCGCAGCACAAGCGGGCCTTGTGAGCAGCCTTCTGTCGCCTCAGGCTGAAAATCACTCCGCTGCCTGGCCCCTCTCTGAGAAGGCTCAGTATGGAATGCATAATTTATGAGCACCCGCCTGTGCATATTCATGAGCGCACTGCCTTCCAAGGCCGGCAGCGTCTGTGAAAAAGCCCCACATAATGAATCATTACAGGAGGGTGCCACCCAGCTCCGGGCGGACCCCAGTTCTCCAAATTACTACTGATCGCGTAAACCTGCTTGGAAGAAAACCAACTGTGCCTGCCTTTGACCCTCCGCTCAAATGCGGGGGGTGGGGGGGACACACAAAGAATGAAGCCTCTATGATGGAAAACCCCGATGCCCCAGGCAGCTTTTCAGGGGAGACTGAGGGAAGTCTCCTCCTGAGCCACCCACCTGAAAAAAATTTTTTTTTTGGAGACAGGTTCTGTGTAGCCAAGGTTGGCCTGGAACTCTTGGCCCTCCTGCCTCAGCCTCCTGAGTACAGGGATTACAGGCATGCACCGCCACGCCTTGCAGTGTGGGACTTCAACCTAAACTCCCTGTAGCCTCTGACATCGTATCAGGGGTCAAAGACCCTCTGGCGAGCTTCTCTGGCAAGAGGCTTTGGTGTCGCTGTCTCTCCACCCTGGCTGATACCAGTATTTTGTTTTGTTTTGTTTTGTTTTGAGATAGAGTCTCACTCAACAGTTCAGGCTGGTCTTGAACTCACTTTGTAACCTAGGCTGACCTTGAACTCCCAACGATCCTCCTGTCTCAGCCTCCGGAGTGCTGGGACTACAGGCATGTGCCACCACCCTCACTTGAAATCAAGATTTAAATAGCAGAATTTTTCTTTCTTGGTGCCCCAGAAAACAATGCACATCTCACATTCAGGTGTCCCCACGCACTGCCAAAGTACCACTCACTATGCACCCCAATTCAACAGGAGCTCAGCTGGGTACAGGGGTTATAAGTGCTCATCATCAAACACAGGGTGGATGCGTAGAAGGGGCCCAGTAAACCCGGAGCCCTTCCTCCTCGTTCCTGGAGAGAAGGAGCCGCCTACACACCGCGCCTCCTCTGGAGAGAGAAGAGCCCGCAAACCGCTCGGGTCCGCGTCTTATTCAGGGAGGTCTGTGGCCTTGGAAGCATGAAATAAATGCCAGTCTATTTGGATTGAGGGTTACAGGGAGATTAAAAGTTTTCCCAAACTAGTCACAACCCTATTAAAATGTTCCTCATGCAACCCAAGCGGTGATTCATGGAATAGCCCATCTGGCATTTCTTATACAAGAACTCGCGTCTGACTCAGTCTTAATTTTGGTTACTAAATGCTAATTGTCACACTTTCCCACCCCAATAAAAAGTCTCTTTTGCCCACAGGGTCTCCCCATGTAGCTCAGGCTGGCCTTGAACTCGTGACAATCCTCCTGCCTCAGCCTTCCTAGTGCTGGGGTTACAAGCGTGAGCCACCATGCCCTTAAAGCCTCCCTGCTTGTGAGCGCGTGTGAGCAAGTGTTCGTGGATGTGCATGTGAGTGTGCATTTGTGGCATCTGTAGTGTGAAACGCATCTATCCCTGAGGGCACCCTGTGTGTGCATATGGTGTACACACGTGTGCCCGGCCTGGGCTGCCCTTGGTTTTGTGATTTGCTGTCACCACTGTGAAGCTCTGAGGAATTCTCACAATTGTTTTGCACTGAGTTGTGCAAAGTGCGTGGCCTGCCCTGGGCGTGTGCACGTGTGTGTGTGTGTGTGTGCGCGAGTACCTGACACGTGGGTGAGTGTGCATTGCATGGGCACAGAGCACACCCACCCTGTGGAGAGTGCAGCCTGGCTCTGGCGATGAGTGTGCACTCGGGTGTGCCCCAGGAGGTGGGGGCCCACCCGGCACGGCCAAGAGTGCCTGAGACAGACACTAGGACCAAAGGAAGTTGCCGGGAGCCCCGAGACTGCACAGGTTGTGAGGGGCTCTGGAATACTTCTGCGTGTTTCTCTTGTTTGTTTTGGCACTACTCGGGGTTGAATTCAGGGCCTTCACACTGAGCTACGCTCCCAGCCCTTTTCAAAGATTTGTGGGTTTTTTTGGACAGGGCCTTGCTGAGTCACCCACGTCTCAAACTTGACATCCTCCTGCCTCAGCCTCCCAAAGCGCTGGGATTAGAGGTGTGTACCATTGTGCCTCACTTTTTTTTTTTTTTTTTCAGACAGGCTCAAGATACATTGCCCAGGCTGGTTTCAAACTCTCAAACTCATGGGATCAAGAGATCCCCCCCACCGCAGCCTCCCTGGGGGCTGAGACCATAGGTATGCGCCACCACACATGGCTTAGCATGTGCCGGGTGAAGAAGCACCCTGGGCGAATGCCCCTGCAGTTGGAGAACTGGTCAAAGGTTTCAGACACTGAGCATTGAGGCCAGCGGGTAAGTGCTCTTTCAGGATGGGCCTAGAACTTCACGTAGTCAAATCATCTGACCATGGCTCTCTTATCTGACTTCCTCAGGCTCCCAAAGGAACAAAGCCCACCAGGGACACAAAGCTGGAGAGGAGCTGCTGACCGCAGGGACCGCCAGCCTGCGGCCTCCCTGGGCGCTCGGCCAGGCGGTGACTCACAGCAGGGATGGCTGGCCGGGCTGGCCTTGCCCAGCAGCCCTCTCCCCCACGCCCTCAGCAGCAAGGCGGCCAGGGCTGCCCTGCGATTCCTCCTCAGCCTGGGCCATGCTGCCAGACCCTCAAAAGCAGAGCGGCAGGCGGGGTTGGTGCCCCGTGCCGTCTGTGGTGTCCTCCTTGGCCCCTGGGAAGCCCCCTACCAGCCTCTCCCGCTCCACTCCTGGACGGCACCCCAGGGTCAGGGCGCTGTCCCCCCTGGAGCCCCTCCAGCTGGCCGAGGGAGAAGGTATGAATGTCAGGCGCTGCCATTTACCAGCTCCCTGGGCCTCAGTTTCCTGTTGGTGGTAAAACAGCTCTGTGTTGAGCCTGGCAGACCCAGGGCAACCAGACGAACAGCGGGTTCCCACGCCACCCTGGGGACAGCCACAGAGCCGCCCGCCAGCCACGGTGTGAGCAGAACTGGACTTCAGGGCCCAGGGAGGGGAAGCCAGCCCTGCACGGGGAAGGGGACCTGGGGCCCCACAGCCGGTCCACGGCCAGTGTGGGGACAGATGTCTCTGGCTGGCCTGTGGGCGCCAGGCACTCTGCAGAGCACGGTAGACGGGGATGTCCCAGGGGAGCAGAGGGTCAGAGAGGCGAAGTGACAAGGAGCAGCTGGTGGGACCTGCAGTGGAAGCCCGGGCCTTCCCGGACGCTGAGGCGGAGACACTGTGAGACCCCCCGGCCCCCGGCTGCTGGCTCGGGCTGGTGGCTGTGCGCCCAGTGCCACCTCTATTATTTATGCCTCCCTCCGGTGGGCAGCAGGGACGTGGCCCAGAGGCCCGGCTCTGCCAGAAAGATAAGACGCCAGCACCGGGCTGTCCCCTGAGCACCCATCTTCCCGAAAGAGACACAAAGGCCTGCTGTTCCCGAAACCGAGCCAGCGGGAAGCCGGCCGCTCCCTGGCGAAAGGAAGACAAAGCATCCGCGGGTGACGGCCGCTCAGGTTTACAGCCTGTCCTCCTGGCCAGCTGTCCCTCCTGCACTGAGAGGCAGGTGCCTGCTGTCTCGGGGTCACCGGGGCTGGGCGGGGCCCCTCCCGCAGCCTGGGCACCCCTGGTGCGTATTACGTGTCCTGAGTGACAGGCCAGGAAACAGGTCGTGCAGCAGGCACAAGCCACACGCTGCTGTACCTGCGCTCCGTGCTCCGGGCCTGGGCCAAGCTGACTCCGTCCTCACCGCGGGGCAGGAAGGAGCCATGCCCGCGCAGACCCTGCCGGCCACGCCGCACGCCAACTCCACCACGCACTTACAGAGCTCACAGCAAGGGACGCGCTGCAAGGCCACCCCAGGCGGCCCGAGGTCATCCTGCGGCCAGCCCAGGGGCATGTGGGAGCCACATCCTGGCCCTCCCGGAGCCCCCAGGCCCTACAGGACTCAGGCCCCAAGGCGCACACCCAGCACCGCTGGGCACTGCTCGCCCGCAGGCTCTGCCAAGCCACTGGCACTGCGGCAGGCAGGACAGGGCGATGTCCTAAGCAGCAGCCGAGTGAGGGCACAAGTCCGTGCCTCCCCAGGTCGGCACTCCAGACACGGACAAGGCACAGGAAGGACTTCTTTCTCAGCCCCAGGGAGGGTGGGCCAGCAACAGCGCCTCCCTCCCCTTGGATGATCTGGAAACATGTGGGTGTATCTAGGAGGCCTCAGGGACAGAGGGTGGCCCTGAGGAGGGTCTCAGATGCACAGCAGGGCCAGGAGTGCCGCTCAACCCGTGCGCCTCAGTGTCCCTGTCTGTGAAATGGGAGCAGTTATGGGGCAGACCTAGATGTCCCCCAAAGCTTCATGTGATCACAGGTGGGGCTTTCAGGGGTGATTGGGATCTGATCATAAAGTTGAATGCTGACTTCCGGTGGGGAGGTGGGGTCTGACGGAGAGGCGGGGCGCTGGGGTGGGGCCCAGAAGGGCCCCTCCCCCTCCGGACTCCTCCTCTGCGCTTTCTTCCTGCCTGCCTGCCAGAGCAGCTCTGCTCCCTGCGCCCTGTGTGTGTTGCCCTGCCTGGGCACCACCCTGGGCCGAGAGGTGAGCCAGCAAAGCCTCTCCTCCTTTCGGGGCAGCAGCGTGGAAGGCAGGGATGACCAGCCGTCCTCGCTGACCGGCGTGGGCGGGGAGCGGACCGACGGCTGCTTGCACGGGTACTTCCCAAAGGCCAAGGCAGCAACAACGGCCAGCAGCAACACAGGTCACGTCACTGCCGCTGGACACCGGCCCTGCGCCCACAGCAGGGCACACAGGTGACTCAGACGCTGGCCAGCTCCCGGCGGCCACGTGGGCGGGGCCCCATGGGGTGACAGTGGTGGTGGTGGGGCCTCTGGCCACACACAGCCCCTCTCCGCAGGGACAGGGGGCAGGATAGCGCACGAGGGCTTTGATGGGGACAACCGGGCTCCCTAGGAAGAGGGACAGCATGGCAGGGCAGGGAGGGGACGGGGCAGAGCGCGCCCAGAGAGTGGCAGGGGCCAGGGTGGGTGGGAGTAGGGGTTTCCGGGTGGTGGGGTGTGGCCAGGACATCCACAGCGAATTCCCCAGGGTCAGGGCCCGGGGCTGCCTGGCTGAGCCGGAAATGCCCGTCGTAAAACAGGTGGTGGCAGATCTTGGCCACTCTCTGGGGCAAAGTGTCAGCGCCACCTGTCTGCACCGCCCCCCCCCACGGGTGCTGCCCCAGCTCTGCCCCCTGCCTTGCTTCCCTCTTGGGGTCCTGAGGTCGGCCTCCCGCTGCAAGCAGGGAAACTGAGGCTTAGTCAGGCAGGGTCAGCCCCCAGAGGACAGGGCAGGGGGCGCAGCCAGGGTTCTTTCTCAGGTCAAAGGCCGTCCTGTCTCCACTGGCATCTCCTGCTGTGTGATTTCCTGAGGTATCTCCCGCCACCCACTCATTTCGGGCTTCTTGCTTTATCTGGGTTTGTCTGTTTTCAAACGCTGTGCTAATGTGTGGGAAGCTTTTTTCTTCCTTTTTTTTTGTGATACTAGGGTTTGAACCCAGAGCTACCGCCCAGACTTTTTTTTATTTTTTTTTAAATTCGGAGACAAGGTCTCACTAAGTTGCTAAGTTGCCCAGGCTGGGCTCAAACCTTGGATCCTCCTGCCTCAGCCTCCCAGAGATCTGGGATTACTGGCGTGCGCCACAGTGCCCGGCTGTGAGGTATCTGTGAGAGGCGGCAGCTGCTCCTCACCCTGGAATTGGCCGTCCCGTTCTCCCACAGACCCTGTTTTCTCAGGGCCGTAAATCACTTCCTTAAATGCCGCCTGAAAGCCAAGAGGTCACCAGCCACGGAGCCCAGCTGGGGCCCGGGGGCCCAAGGGCAGCAGCAGCTTGGGACCCTGGCTCTCAGTGGAGCTGGGAGGGGTGGGAGGGAGGGGCCGGGAAGGGAGAGTTTCCGGTTGTTGTCCACGGGGAGCGGCATTTGGGGTGTGCCGTTGTCCCCCTGAATCCGTGGGAACTGGCTCCAGAAACTCCTGCGCCCCAAGGGTACCACAGTCTTCAGATGCTCAAGCTCCCCGTGTAAAATGGGGTGGCATGTGTGTCATTCAACAAACATCTGCTGACCAGCGGCAGACTGCGCAGGCCAAGGGCCCGCCTTCCGGGGTGACAGACCCCACGACGGGAAGCCAGGCTCCCCGGAAGCTCTCCGCCCCCTTCCCTTACTCTTTCTCCAATTCAAGCGCGTGGTCGAGCCCAAGGTCTGCTTTTAGGGGCCGGGGTCCAACACCCCACCGCACCCCCCTGCCCCGTGCCGGAGTCCGCCCAGGGATGCCACCTGCCTTCCCCGAGGAGACGGCTGGACACGGGGCGTCCGGGCCTCCCTGCGACTCCTGCGGCTCCAGAATAGAAAGCCAATTGTTCCCACAGGGCGGCCTGACGCGCTCCCCGGGACTGCGATCCGCCACCTCCCTCGGCTCAGGTGGCCGCTACACAATCAGCCTGACCATCTGCACCTCAGCCAGGTGCCGCAGCTCTCCCATGAGGCAGAGGCCCAGCAACTCCTAAGAACCTACAGTGCCCCTCAACAAGTGCCCAGTGATGGGCTGGGCCTGTCTTACACGGGCATATGTCTGAGTGTTACTGAGACCGTGTCCCTCTGCTAGCCCAGCCACAGCCCTGCAGGGCCCCAGGGGTCAGGAGAAAGAGCCCCAGCTGGGCCGGTACTGGCCACCTTCTCTGATGGGCAGGTTGCTGAACCTCACCATGCTGCTGTTGTGCCCATTTTACGGAGGGGAAAAATGAGGTTTGAAGTCACCAAGCTGAGAGGCAGTAACCAATAAGCCCACAGAAGGTTAGCACCCTAGGCACTAGGGAGCTGCAGATCAAAGTCACAGTCACCTCACAACCACCAGGGCGGCCAGCATTGGGAGCGGCAGAGGACCAGGGCGTACAGTCACTGCTGGTGGGAGTGTCATGTGTGTGCCCACCGGAACGACAGCAGATGGGTCTTCAAAAGGCTATAACAAAGTCAGGTTGAGTGGCACACTCTTGTAATCCCTGGACTTTGGTAGGCTGAAGCAGGAGCATTGCAAATTCAAGCCCAGCCACACTTCGCCTATCTTAGTCACTTTCTTGTCACCGGGACAAATAGGGGTACCAGCAGTTTAAAGGAGGAGAGGGCTCTTGTGGCTCACGTTTCAGTTTCTTGTTCACGTTTCCGGTGGCACAGCAGAGAGGTGTGGCGGAGGAGAGCTCACCACCGCGGCGTCCCGGAAGCAGGAGAGAAGGGCGGAGCCAGGGAGGGAGGGGACCCCTTTAAGCTACGCCCACAGCGCCGCCTCTTCCAGCAGACCACGCCTCCTAACCCGAAGGTGACCCAATCACCTCTCAAGGCCCTGCCCATGACCCCATGATGCTCCTCCAGGACAGGGAGAGAAAGCTCGGATTGGAGGACCTCGATAAAAACCACACTGCCTCGGAGGTGAAAAAGCAGGGTGGGACTGGGGTTCCATGCAGTGGTCTTAAATTTATCCCCAGCGCCACACACAAAAAATAACTTTCCACATAGAGCTACGAACTCTCCGACCCAGCCACTTCACCTGTGACAGGCCCGGAGGGAAGGAAACCGGCTCGCTCGGAGGGGCCACAGCGGCGAGTCCTGACAGCAAGGAAGAGGAATGACGCAGTGTGCATCCGCTGACGGGTGGGTCCGTGGGAATGTGCGTGTCCATACCACGGATCTGGTTTGGCAGGAGGAAGAAATGAAGTACTGACACAGGCAACTCGGTGGACAACCTCAGAATTGTTACCCCAGCGGGGGCATGTGGCACACACCTGCCAGCCCAGCACTCTGGAGGCTGAGGTAGGAGGATCACCCCGAGTTGGAGGCCAGCCTGGGCTACCTAGTGAAATCAAGGTCAGTCTAACTACATAGTCAGACCCTGTCTCGATCAATACATAAATGAAAAAATAACTTTTTCATTGGATGGGAGATGGAAGAATCATATGCCATGTGAATTATACTTCCATGAAGTTGTGACCTAAATAAATAAATAAAAGTCGATGGAGCTAGGATGGGAACCCCGGACTATTCCTGAGCGCCCACAGCTAAGAGTGTCCCTGGTGTTCCCTGTGTCCCACCCGTGTGACCCTGGGGTCTTCGGCTGGAGCTGTCCAGGAGCAGCGCTGCCATCCTCAGGACTGGACGAGTCCCTTTCTGCCAGGGGCTGAGGCCACCCCAACAGACCCCGCAGGGGCTGGGGGGCCCTGGCTGCAGCCACAGCTCGGACCTGGTGTGCCCCAGGCGGACTCATTAGGCGGTGAGCGGGCCTCACCCCGGGCACCCACACGTGAGTGTGGTGTTGACGCCATCACAGCCGGCGGCGCGGACATCCCTGAGTGCGGCCCCCACCCTGGCTAAGCCTTGGCTAAGCCGCCGTGTCTGAGCGAGCTCACAGATGAAATAGCAGAGAAAAGGCAGGTGGCTTGGGGCCTGAGGTTGTTGTTGGCCTGACCCAGCCAGGTGTCCAAGGCGAGATGCAGCCGCCCTCCCCGAGTGCCCCGGTCCTGGGGGGAGACCCCATGGCCCCATTCGCATCCTAGGGAGGGAGCAGACTTGAGGCAGGAAGGCAGAGCACAGGCTCCAAGCCTGGGGCAGCGCTGGGCCCCGCCTTGCGGTTCCTGGACATCTCCCAGGAGTGAGGAGCCCATCCTGGGGTCTGGGCTTTGGGGAGCAGAGTCTTCGGGCAGGGCTGTGACAAGCACAGATCGGCAGCCCCATGGGGAAGGCAGGGCCCTGTGTCCCTTGGGCCTGGAGCCCTGGGGCCTGGGCGGGGCCTCCCCAGCGCGTGGGAGGAACGGGTACCCGGGCCACAGCAGTGGCTGAGCCTCATGGCTGGGGAGCAGGACCGGGACACCCCAGCTTGACTGCTGTCACCAAGTGGGGGGAACTGTCTCGGACAGCCTGCTGGGCCCTTGCAGGTCCCTCTGCGTCCGGTGGCTGCAGGCGAGATGCGTCGCTCTGCACTGACACCGCTGTCCGGGACTGGACGATGACAGGCCTGCCACAGGCAGCGCACTTGCTGAGGCCGTGTCCGTAGGGACTTGGCTCCTCCCCAGGGTCCCCTGGCATCGCCACCCTGCAAGGACCTCCAGGGCGAATCTGCTCCTGGGAACAGCCCTGCCCAGCGTGCTGCCCCCCCCGTGTCCCCATGGGAAGGAGCAGCACAAGAGAAAGTGCCAGCTTGGGGACAGTACACTGCTTCCTGGCTACTCGCTGCCTGGCCTTGAGCAAGTCTCTTGATTGCTCCAAACCTCAGTCTACCCATCTATAAACTGGAGCAATAACGTTTGATTGCAAGAGTGGTGTGGAGGGAGCCGTGCATGTGAAAGAGCTTGGGGAAGGGAGCCTCTGTCTCTGTGGCCCCTGCACTCCTGTTAAGTTCTCAGCACCACCAGCCCACGAACCCTACGGGTGCCACGGACCCTGGAGGAAGTCCCATGGCAGGGACCAATGGCTGAAGAAGCCCTGGCGTCTGCATCCCGTCAGCCGCTGAGCTGGTGGACACCACACCCACAGCACCCCTTCATCCCCACCCCGAGCTGCATGCCGGCCTGGCCATCCCGGGAGCGGCAGGAAGGGTGTGTACGGCAGCTGCGCTGAAGCTTGACATGTTTTTCCACCCGAAATAAATGAGGCGGGATCCGGGATGTGTTTACAGTGGGTGGAGCGGCGTCCACACAGCTCGGCAGAGAGGTTGGAATCAGGACAGCAGGAGCGTTCTATCCCTGGCGCCAACCCGGTGCATTGCCAGTGATCCGGGGCTCCAGTCTGCAAACTCCGGTTCTGAACCCGGGCTTCTACCACAAAAGAACCAGTGCAGAGCATAGCCCCCAGGTGGCTGTGAACGCTCACTAAATGCAGCCCCCCTGTGCTCCGTGGAAGCAGCATGGGGTGGTCACTGATGGTGCCATCAGAACAGGAAAATAGCATCTGGTTATACGAGAGGGACAAGAAAGACTCCACGGAGATTTTTTTAAAGCTTCCCAATATTTTTAGCCAAGGGCAGTGGCGCAGCTACTTGGGAGGCTGAGGCAGGAGGATCACAAGTTTAAGGGCAGCCCAGGCAGCTTAGTTAGACATTGTCTCAAAGTAAAATATAATTTTTTTCTTCTTATACATAGTGCTGGGGTTGTAGCTCAGTGGTAGAGTGCTTTTCTGGCATGTGTGAGGCCCTGGGTTCAATCTCCGCCATGAATAAAAGGGAGTTTGCTGATATTTTCTTATAACCATTTCCTTCTAAACTTACTGCCACGTTTGGGGTCTGAGGTGCACACATATAGTTGGGCTCCGCAGCCTACCCATCCCAACTCCCTTTTTTCAGCCTTAGCAAGTTAAAAATAGAAATTTTTGGCCATTAGCAGGTAATGTTTTTCTTACCAGTGCTTTTCCTTATTGGTGGACTAAATCCTGCAGAAATTTATTTGTGTGCCTTTTTCTTTTTTATGTGTTTTTTTTGGGGAAGGTTAAGATAGGGTTTATGTGGTTCAGGCTGGCATTAAACTCACTACATAGCCCAGACTAACCTCAGCTCCTGGCGATCCTCCTGCCTCAGCCTCCCAAGTGCTGGGATTACAGGCGTGCACTGCTACGTCTAGTTTAGACTTTTCTTCCTATACAATAAAAGTTCATTTTCTCTTAGTTCTGAGACTGACAGGGCCGGTTCCTTCGTCCTCTCCCCCTGGCTCACAAGGGCCTCTCTTTTTTTTTGTTTGTTTGTTTTCTTCCGGTACCAGGAATTGAACTCACGACCTCGTGCTTGCCATGCGGGTGCTGTGCCGTTGAGATATATCCCCAGCCCTGAGGGCCTCTCTTTTTGTCCCTGTGCAGTTTCCCTCTTTATCTGTGTCTGTCTAATATCTTCTTTTTAAAACAATTTACATGAGGTGTGATGGCATGTGCCCCTAATCCCAGTGCTCATGAGGCTGAGGCAGGAGATCACTGCACGTTGAAGGCCGACGTGGGTGACATAGTGAGTTCACCCCAGACCATGAACTACACGGTGAGACCTTGTTTTTTTTGTTGTTGTTTTTTTTTTTTTTAAAAAAAAAAACCAAACGATTAAACTTTATCTTTTTAATTGACCCACAACACTGGATGATCTTACTGTGTGTGACGGGAGGCTCTGGCGTCTCTGCCTGCTGTGGGACAGTTCAATCCAGCTCATCCACTCTGCATTTCCCAGGACACAGGGTGGCGGCGCTGACTGCAGCTGCTTGCCATGACCTCTGGCACCTGGTTCCGTCTAACCGGAGCTGTGTGTCCTTTATCCAAGACCTTCCCTGTCTGTCCCAGGCTCTGGCTGCTGCCACTCCAGTCTGCCTCAGTGGATCAGCGTTCCTCCGCTCCGCACACGACTGAGGTCACACAGTGGTTATTGTTCTGCCCCTGGCTATTTTACCCACAGTGTCCCCCACATTCCCCTATGTCACAGAGGGTGGGGTTTTGTTTTTCATGGCCAAATAATATTCCTTTGTGTAATATGCTGCATTTTCTTTATGGGCATGAAGGTAAGGACTGGGTAGGGACTTTGGGGGCAGTTGAGATGGGGTTTTGCAATATAGTCTAGGCTGGGTTTGAATTCATTGTGTAGCCAGCCTCAAATGCTTGGTGATCCTCCTGCCTCAGCCTCCAGAGTGCGGGGATTACAGGTGTGTACCAGCATGTCCAGCAAGGATTCTTTCTTATAAGATCTCTTCACAGCAAAGGGAGCAGTCAACAAGGAGAGGCAATAATGTGCAGGATGTGAGAAAATATTTGCAAGCTCTGGTCAGCCCTCTGTCTGTGGGGTTTGCATCTATGGATCAAACCAATCAAAGATGGAAAATATTAGAAAAAATGTGAGGTTATTGCTGCCATGTGCTATGAGCTAGGCCTAGGATACATTCCTCTGTCATTTCCGCCCATACAACACATTTATAACAGCTTTGCATTAGGTATTATAAATAAGCTTTCTTTATTTAAAGTATGCAGGAGGATGTATGTAAGTTCTATGCAAAAAATGCACTGTTTTATTTATTTGTTTGCATATGGGACATTGAACCCAGGGCTGTCCCTCTGAGCTACATCCCCAGCCCTTTTTTGGATTTTTTGAGACATGATCCTGCCAAATCACTAAGTTCCTAGGGCTGGGCTCCAACTTGCAATCCTCCTGCCTCAGCCTCCCTGAGTGTTGGAATAACAGGCATGCACTACCACACCTGGGTAAATACTGCACCATCTTATATGAGAGGTGTGAGTGTTCATGGATTCTGGTATCTCCAAGAGGTCCTAGAGTGGTCCCCTGAAAATGTCAAGGAGAGGTTTTAGGTACGCAAACCAAACAAATAATACAATTTAAAATGAGCAGAAGACTGGAGCAGATGTCTCTCCAAAGAAGGCGCACAAGTGGCCATCGGTCTATGGGAAAATGCGAAACATCAGTGATCATCACAGAAGCGCAAACTGAAACCTCAGCGAGCCCCAGCTCACACCTGCTGGAAAGGGCACCTTCAAAAAGACAGCGTCAGTGCTGGCCACAAGTGGAGGAACGGCCCTGCGTGCTGCTGGGGGGCTGTACATCCGCTCCACCATCATGGAAACCAGGATGGAGGTTCCCCCCAAAACTAAACAAAGACCCCCGCCCAGGTCCAGCAATCTCGCTGCTGGGGACCCACCCAAAGCCGGTGAGATTCAGGTCTACTTCAGCCCTCTTCCCTTGAGCCACGGGGTCCGCCTCAGCCTCCATCTCCGAATGAGGGGATGCTCTTGTGCTTTTAAATGCGCGGTGGGAGAGGAAGACGGTTTGGGAACCTGGCCCCTGCTTTGTGAATTGCGTCCGGGAAATCACAGCAGTGAGTCTGGGCGCTTGCTGACCACAGCTCACACAGTGTGTGCTGTCCGTCTCCCTTTCTGAGAAGCCTGAGCGAGAAATCATTTCTGGAGCAAGTGAAAGGGAGATGAGAGAAACAGGAAGGAAGATTTCGAGGACATGGTGCAGAGATCGGGGATCAGGGAGGGCGGAAGGGGAAGGAAAATAAAAAGCAAAGGTGACAGTGTCTGCGCCCATAACCCAAGAGGTTCGGGGACTGTGTGCCGCAAACCCATCCCAATAAAAAGAAAGGGGCTACTTCATTATACGGGACAACCGGGAAGGAAGCAAGTACGGGCGGATGCGATTCTCGCCCCCTCCCCAGGTGTGGCCGTGTGACCCCTGCTCGCCGAGGACTCGCCGGTCACAGCAACGTCCACCTCTTGGTGGAAACCTGTGGTGCCCAGCCTGGTGACGGCCTGCCTTTGCCAGGGGGAGCAACAGGGGACACACAGGAACCGGCTCTGTGCAGGGCGGAACCCCGCCGTGGCTTTGACCGAGATTTAAGATTTGTTTATTCCAGAGCCTCCTCCGCCCCGGCTCGGAGTCCAGGCTGCGGCAACAGAGAGGCCGTTTGGTGAATGCAAACATTTGAAATAACAAATGCAAAGTGAGAAACCATGACGTGGCTGCTCACCGGCATCCCTCCCCTGCCTCCAAAACCAGCTTCCACCTTTTATTTTAACAGATGGCATCGAGAAAAGTAACAGGTAAGTGGCCACAAGTGCCAGCAGCTTAGCTCCTTTTTAAAAATAAAACCTATCTTTTTTTTTTTTTTGATACCAGGCATCAAACTCAGAACCTTGCACTTGCCAGGTAGGTGTTGTGCTGCCGAGCTATATCCCCGGCCCTACTAAAACCTACGCTGCTTTTTGTCCCAAGAATGCTTAATTTGAATTGACCCAACACTTTAAAAGAGCCCAAGTCCTTATCTCCCATTTCACAGTTGAATTCCTTTCCTCACTGTGTAGTTCAGGCCTTCAATTTGCAGCGATCCTCCTGCCTCAGCCTTCTGAGTGCCTCGATTGCAGCATGTGCCACTAGGTCCTGCTCTCCTAGTCGAATTCCTAATACCACAGCTTCTAACCTGTATTTCTTGCACCCCACATAAGGGCCCCTGAGGACCCGACAGACAGAGCCTGGAGCTGGTGCTGGCTGGGAGGAGGCACCATGAGCTCCCCAGAGCCCAGGCACTCCCCTCGCTCCAAGGTCTTCAGTGGCTCCCTATTGCCCCAGGGAGGAAGACTGAGTGAAGGTGCCCATCCAGAAAGACAGGAATCACACAGCCCTGCTGCACAGGAGCGGGCAGAGAAGAGGCCTTGGCCCGGGGCCCTCTCCAGAGAGTTCCCTGAGAGCAGGGCCTGACTAGAGTGTCTGCATCCCTCCTGCAGAGACACTCCCCGGCTGGGGAGATGGCGCGCAGCCAGCCAGTGAGCTCAAGAACAAAGCCCAGGCCACCCCTGCCTCGGCCTTCGGGACGGTGACGTCACGCAGAACCGCCTCTTGAGGAGGCCTAGAGAGCCCGGATGAGAGCCGGGGTGCTGGGACATGAGAGGTGGAAGGCGCTGCCCTGTCCATGGTGCAGCCTGGGGCAAGAAGTCAGGGCTCCAGGAGCCTTGAGGGGCTGGGCAGCTGTGGGGCGGCCCCGATGTCCTCAGGCCCAGCCCCAGCCCAGGCAGACAGGCCTTGAGCATCCAAGTGTGTGGGGGCGTCTGGGGGAGCCCAGGCCTCCCCCTTATGAACCTCCATCAGGAAGTCACAGGGAAGAGCAATACGCCCAGCATGGGCTCCACCATCACCGTGCCCGCCTCAATGGGGCAAGCACCTCACTGGGGAGGCCCAGAGAGGGTGAGTGGCTTGCCTGAGGCCACACGAGGGCCAGAGAGCAGGACTTTGAACTCGGGGCTCAGACCATCTTTCTGAGAAGAGCAGTTGGGAACTGTGCAGCTGCTCTGCCGGACTGGAAAGTTTCCCAAGCACCAGGGCAGTGGATCGCCGGCAGGGCCTGGATTTTCTTCCTGCCAGGAGTGAAGAGGGAACCCCTCGGGGTCAGAGGCAGGAGGAGGCCATCAGCAGCCCCGGGACGTGTGGAGCCAGCCCGTCTGGAGCCCTGTCGCCAGACAGGGCCAGCACGCGGGCACCCTGTCGCACACCAGCAAGGGACGGAGGAGACTCCCTATTTATCGTTATTGTTTGGTTTTTTGAGACAACTTCTTGCTGTGCAGTTCAGGCTGGCCTTGAACACACTACGGAACCCAGGTTGGCCTCAAACTTGTAGTGGCCCCCCTGTGTCAGCCTCCCAGGCCTGAGGTGACAGGCGTGTGCCGCTGTGCTTGGCTCAAGGGAAGCTCTTTTTGGACAGGTGAGGAAGCTGAGGTGGAGTCTGGTGACATGATGCACCCCGGATTCCCCCAGACCTAAGAGCCAGCCCCAGGCATGGGGTGCAGGTGACTGTAAAGGACACACTCTGACCCGGCCGGCGACTCCTGCTATAAATACGTTGCTGACTTGGGTAACCTTAGCTGCCCGCCGCCCGCCGGGCCCAGGGCCATGCATCCCCGAGCCGGCTGCCTGCCGCTGCGTCCCTGCTCTGCGGACTTTCCCAACGCCGTGAGGAGGCACCGCGTTCTTCCAACAGCTTGCGGTGACACAGAGCTCACTGTCTCCAAAGGGGAAGGGCGTTGCTGCAGACATAGCCTCCGTGACCACAGCCCCCCGCCCGATGCAGGGAGCTCCCGGACCCTGTCCTGTGCAGATGGAGTGTGGGACCTCAGTCAACTTCTGCTCCACATCGAGCAGCTGGGTGACTCTCGCGTGTCATCTGCCCCTCTGAGCTTCAGTTTCCTTACAGCGCACAGTCCTCTCCACGGGGTACACGGTCCGCTGTGTCTGGGACAAAGCTCGGCGTGGTGCTGCACACCCGAATTCCCTGACTTCCTTCTCTGGGTCACAGACAGGGTCTCACTATGCAGTCCAGGCTGACTCTGAACTCTCTGAGATCCTCCTGCCTCAGCCTCCCAAGTGCTGGGATTATAGATGTGTACCACCACACCCAGCGGGTTGTTTAATTCTTCTTGCAATTTGAAGATCTGATGTCTTACTATTATCCCCATTCAACAGAGGAGAAAGCTGAGGCAAAACTGCCCAATGTCACATGGGTGGTGAGGGGGGAAACAGAACATTCCCATGGTGGACACAGATCCAAACAGGAAGCAGAAGTCACAGCAGCCTGCTGGGGGGCCGGGGTCTCAGAGAGGCCCAGACGTCAGGCCACGCCCTCCAGGGGACCCCCTTCTCCGCCAGAGCCTCCCCGCTAAGTGGGCGTCCTCCTCTGCCCAGGGCACTCTGATCCCTACACACCAGGCTCAGTCTGGAGTCCGCGTTATCACAGACAAAGGCCACTGCCACTGTTTTGCAGCCTGGAGCCGCCCGGAGCCCCTGACCCAGGCGGGACAGAGACAGTGGGTCGGAACCAGGCCCTGCCTCGCAGCCCCGAGAGGCACCTCTCCTCCTCCGTGTGTCCAGGCTGCACACTCAGCGCCTGCCGTCGCCACCAGGCTAATATTGTCCCGGCTTTCCTGAAATACTCCTCCCCACGGGTGGCGTTACAAGCTGCTAAAACCAGGGCCGCGTCCCGGTAGAGGGAGAGAGCTATTCCGGGTCCGCGTCAGGTGTGGGGCTCGGCCAGCCAGAAAGGCCGTCCGCGGCTCCCCCGGCCCTGGCGGCCTCAGCAGCCTGGCGAGCAATGCCTGGCAGCTGTGTGACTGGCACCGGGGTGACGGTGAGGCCAGGCTGCCGGTGCGGCGCCTCCCCCCAGCACACACACACGTGCACACACACTTGCACACCCAGAGCCAGGCCCAGGCCGGCTGCCGGCACCCGCAGCACCCCACCCTCAGCTCCCAGGATGCCTGGCTTGGGGTGCCCGCAACACTCCAGGGGCCACAGCCACATAGCCAGCATGGCACTGGGCTTTCACAGCCACCTGTGCCCTGGGCCCCGCCACCACACTCTCCGCCCCCACCTGGGCACAAGGAGGCTCAGAGAGGTGAAGCCACTTGCTCAGGGTCACCCAGCCTGGAAGTGAAAGAACTGGCGCTGGACAGAGGAGCCCGGCTCCGCGTCCCCAGCATCACCTCCGGAGGAGACTCCCCAGCACTCTGCCGCAGCTGGCTCCAGGGACATCATCTTGGAGCTAGTGCTCCAAGAGGAAGGAGCCGGGCAGCCAGTGCCCACCGAGCCTCTCACGGACGGAGCAGAGCCACGTGTGGAGGCCACAGAGGCTGGCCACATCGGCACTCGCCGCTCCCCAGCCAATTCCAACCCGGAGGATTTGGGGTCCCTGGGCTCAGATTCACAGGGAATCCTCATGGACGCGTCTTGCTGTCCCCCAGAAAAATAGTCACACGTACTCCTTTGCATGCACTGCCAGGGGCCCTGGGCACGTGAGGCCACCCTGGGGTTCAGCTCCTGCCCAGGGCCCCGTACCCTGTGGGTCTCCTGCCCTCCACCCCACCCCCGGCCTAGGAAGGGCTGGGAGCAGGCAGGCTTCCTGCTCCAGCCTTAGGGAAGCCAGGGTGCGGTTGGACTTGGCTCTAAAAGTCACGCCCCTCCCCCTTGCGGCTGCGGCCCCCGGCGTCTGCTGGCAGGAAGAGGGTGCAGCCCCACAGCTGCCCGCAGCCCGTGGGCCCCGTGCCCTCGGCGACCGGCAGCCTGGGCTCCGCAGCAGGGGCCATGGCGGGTAAATATAGCACTGCCACTCACCAGCAGAGGGGCCCTCGCCGTCCGACATGGTGCGGCCGATGGGCAGCTGCTGGCCACCAGCCTGCAAGGACACACCACGTCCTGGGTGGCCGTCACCCACCCGGCAGGGCTTGGGACTGCTCTGCGTCCGGCCCCTCCGCAACGGCCTGCCTGGCCCGCCTGGCCACCCCCCCATGCCGGGCTGGGCAGATAAGAGCGGCTCCCGTGCCAGGAGCCCAGGCGATTGGTGGATAATTCTGGGCACTGCCCTCCCTGCCTGGGCCTCTCCAGGCAGCCCCGGAATGTTGCCCAAGAAGCCGCTGCACCCCTGGGTGCTTGGCCAGTCACCAGGACCCCAGGTGGGGGAGGGGGCAGAATGCCGCTCACCCTATCCCCAAAACTGGCTCCAACCCTGAGCCAGGGACATGTCTGGGCACTGGGGAAGGAGCTGACTAAGTGATGCCACTCACAGATTGCTGGATGGCACCAGAGCCAGGCTGAGTGCCACCACACTTGCCATCTCTCTCACTCTGACCATCGAGTGCCTCGGAGTTAAGAGACCCCCCGGCCAGGAGCCAGCACTAGGGGTGTGGCGGGGACCTGAAGCCTGTCTGTCTCTAACGTCTCAGGAAGGCCGGACCCTGCCTGGGATATTTGGCAGCATTCCCGGACACCTTCAGGGGCTCCTTGGGTACTGGAGGCTGGGGTGAGCGGGGCTCCCTCAGGCAGCCAGCGTCTGTGCCTGGTACCAGGACTGCTGGGGAAATACTGGCTAAGGGCACACATCGTGCAAGCACTGAGTATGCACTCGCTGTGTGCTGCCCCAGGAGCAACCCAGGGCCCCACATAGGTCAGAGTCTGGAAAGTACCAGCCCAGGCCTGGGCTCCTCTAGGCCCTGGGGCTGAGGTTTGCAGAGCCTGGTGGAAGTAAGGTGGTTTCAGGACCAGGGAGGGAAGTGCTTCTGATGAGCTCCACTCAGAGAAATCCGGAGGGCTAGCACTTGAGTTACCTTGTTAAAGGGCAGGGAAGTTTCTCAGGGCAAGAGGGTAGCCCACCAAGAGGGAGCAGCGGGTGCAAAGGAAAGAGGGGCAAGCCCCAGTGGGAGAGTGGCGGGGTCCGCAGCAGGGGATGAGACGGACACGCTCCCTGCAGAGGAGGAGAAAGATGCCTGTGGAGGGAGGTGTTCAGGCCGGCGTCCTGGAGGAGGGGCAGGAGCCTCAGAAGAGGGACGGGGCAGAGTGGCATCACAGGCATCCCGGCTACCACTCTGACCTCACTGTGTCCTTGGCTGGTGCTTGCCGTGTCCTCGCCTTGGTTGGCTTGTGCCGTCCTGACAGGTATGGAGCTCACCATCACAGAGAGCGTGCAAGCTGGCGGAGCCCCTGGTTGGGGGTGTAGATGGAGCTTGAGCATCAGGTGGGTTGGAGAAAATGGCTTTGGGGTCCTATTTCACTGCGATTTGCCTGCATGCATCCCCAGAACCCCTTTAGTCCAGGGCAAACCAGGACTGTTGGTCACCTGGGTCCTTCCAAACAGCTTTTTAAGTGAAAAAAGAAATGCCAAGCCAAGCCAGAGCAGCCCTGGGGCTGTGTCCAGGGTTCTTGGCCCCACCTCCCACCTGTACACCCCTCCTTCCTCCTCACCCTGAGAGCCACCCCAAGACTGCTGGGGGGTGGGTCTCAAGGAGAGGAGCCAGCTGCCCCCAGGGTGCCACCTGCATGGTGGGTGGAGCTTCGTCGGGGAAGTGGGAGGGGCCTGGGAAGTGGGCGGAGTCTTGAGGGGCAAGGCCGGGAGGTCAGTCTGGAAGCTTAACAGACAGCAGAGGTGACTGCAGGGTTCAAAGTGTGCAGATCTCAGTAGGTGGCCGCGTCTCCCCAGGAGGAGGTGGGAGCAGGACAGGGGGCCTGCGCTCCCTTGGTGTTGGAGGGTGCAGATGGACATAGCCTAGGGTTGGACCTGCCTCCCTGGCCCTGCCTTGCTCATTGTACCTTTGGGGACACTGTGGTCCCTCTAGGCACCTTTGCTTCCACACTGGGGAGCATTCAGGAGCACCCCCTTGGTGCTGACCCAGAGTCCCTGCCCCCAGGCATACACAGTCTCTGAGGCCAGCGCTGGGCAGGACCTGTGATTCCATCTGGGGTCTGTGTCCTGCGGTCCTGCTCGGAGCTCCCTGGAAGGGCTGTTTCAGCGGAGGAGCCCGGCCTGGAACAGAGCGGCCTCACAGCCCAACCCGGGTGACAGTGACGGATGCGCGCTAGTGTGGGCGGCAGAGCGGGGCTCTCACCGTGCCCGCCGCCCGGCAGTTCCACAGACAGGGTGGGACGGATCTGGTGGCTGATCTGGGAGCCGGCTGCCTCCGCCAGCCTTCCTGGGGGACAGGGACCAGCCCGGGCCAGCTGGGTTTCTCATCAGGAAGGGGCTGTGACCAAGTGCACACCAGGGCCCAGAGCCTGCCTCAAGCGTCTGTCTGTCTGTCCCGGTCCCCTCAGGGGACCAGCCAAGGCCGGCTTCCCTTCCTGTCCCTGGCCCCGAGGCCTTCCTGTCGTCCTTATCCTGGGAACACGTGACAGGAAGAGCAGCTCCGCTCCCTGTTCCTGGGGTCACGGCGGGGGGAGTGGCTCGCTGCGTGTGTGTGGGTGTGCAGGGCACGAGTGTGAGGGTGTGCTTGCAGGTGCGTGGCAGTGGGCACCTGTGGGGGTGTGCGTGTGAGAACGTGTGCGTGGTAACGTGATGTGTGCTCCTGGGTGAGCGTGCGTGTGTGTGTGTGTGTGTGTGTGTGTGTGTGTGTGTGTGTGCAGGAGACAAACATGCGTGGGGGGTGTGCGTGTGATGTGGGCACGTGCGTACCTGGCTGCCAGGAGCTGCCCCTGAAGCTCTGGCCGTTATATGCCAGCTTCAACAGGAACTGGGAGGGGGCACCACAGCCTGGTGTGGTGGCTCCCCAAGCTTGAATGAGGGCACCCAGGTCAGGAAGGAAGGGCAGGGGGCCGGGGGTGGCAGAGGTGGAGACCTGGGGGTGAGGACGAGGGGCCTCAGAAGAGCCGGGCACCCGGGGTGGTGAGATTGCTGGACCCGGAGCAGAGATTCGGGGAGGCAGGACTGGGGCTCCTGAAGGACAGGGTGACGGGATGGAGCACCCAGGGGGGCGGCAAGGGTCTCCTTGCTGGTGGGGCCCCCGTCGAACAGGCAGGGCAGCGGGTACTTGCCCCGTGCTGCGCTGGCCATGGCTTGAAGGACAGTGGATGTCATGTAGGACAGAACCGCACCCTCGGGCACGGGGCCTTGGGCACTGGGGTGTGGGAGACACAGTCCGCTCTGCGGGGCCCGGACCTCAGCAGTGCCCAGCAGGCCTCCCGCTGCCTGAGTGAGCAGTGCGCTCGGGTCACACCCCGTCCCCAGAGCCCGGGGACAGACGCAGAGGCAATGGCAGCACGGAGAAACTCACATGACGGCACACGGGGCTCACGCACACGGGGCTCACACACAGAAACACGCACACATAGGCTCACACACACGATTCACACACATGACGCACAGGCTCACACGCAAAACACCCCGGGGCCCCAAGCTGACCCCGCGTGGGTGGCCTTGGAGAACACTCCCAGCCTCGGACTCCCGGCCAGCACGTAAGCTTGGGGGGCCAGGCCAGCTGCTCAGGGAGTCCCTGGGGGCTGCGGGGTGCGGGTCGTGGGTTTGGGGGGCGGCGCCTCCCATCTGCGAGAGACTGGAGCCACTGTCCTTGGAGAAGCTGGTGCAGAGGCCTCCCGACTGGGGCTCCTGCAGGGCCCCTGGACAGGGCAGGGCCCCTGGGACCTCCTAGGCGGCCCCAAGCTCCAGCAGCTCTGGAACCCCCGGCCCCCTGAAGGGAGTGCCCACCTCCTGCCAGCCCCTCCAGGCCGGCCGGAGGTGGACACGCAGCCCCTCTGCAGGGTTGGGGGCCCCTTCCGGACCCCGCCCTCTCGGAGAGCTGCCTCTGAACCCCCTTGGCAGCCAGAATCTCCACGTGTCTCGCTGGCTCGGGCTTGGGAAGGGGCAGCGGGCGGGGTGACCACGGGGGTCTGGACAGTCGAGGCGACTGCAACCTGTCCCCGTCCCCTCACCCGGCCCGGGGACCGGGAGCCCCGCAGCGTGCAGAAGGCCCTCAGCTCTGCCTGCTCCCCAGGCCGCGAGCGCTGCGCTCGGGCGCCCCCATGCGGCCCCTCGGGGCACTGCAGGGCTCTCCTCCAGAAGAGCGGGCCTTCCCGTGCCGTGAAGGTGCTACTGTCAGCGGCCACCCCTGGGACCCTGAAGGCCAGGCTGAGGGTCTCGTCTCTGCCGCCCATTGTCTACCCTCTAGTGCCCGAGTCTGGGGTGCTGAGGCGAGCCAGGCCTGCAGGGACCATGCACAGGGCCCTGGACTGGCATGCTGACTCCGTGGCCGGACTGAGCCGGGAGCTTGAGGTCTCCACCGACGAGGCGCTGCACCCCGGGAAGGTGCAGAGGAGCAGTGACCCAAAGACCCAGGCTCACTACGCTGGGGACGCTCAAGCCAGTGGCCAAAGTTCTGGAAGGAGCTGACCCAGGGCGGCCTGGCTAGGCCCCTGCCGAGCTGAGGGTTGGTGGCAGCCAGGCCCCGCCATGGCAGGAGGCCAAGGCCAAGGACTTGTGGGGTGGGGACTGCAGCTCAGAGAAGGGCTGCAGAGGGCACGAGGGGGTCACAGCAGGGCGGGGGGTGGGGAACAAGGAGAGAGGACAGCGGCCGCAGGAAGGGGCTGCCTGGGGGGCCGTGATGAGCTGAGGACTGTGACACACAGCCGAGGCCAAACCCGGGCACACTGCTCTCAGGGTGGGCAGGGGGCTCTGGGGCAGAGGAGAGGGGATACCTGGCCCGGGGCCCAAGGGGTCAGGAAGGCAGGGCGAAGGCAGTTTGCCTCTGCCTAAGAGCGCGTGCTCCAAGAGCTCACGGAGGAGCCCCAAGGACAGCTGGGCCCGAGCACAAGGGCTGCCTGGACTCACAGCCCCTCGGCCACTCCTGGCTGGGGAGGAAGGGGCGGCTTCTTCCACCCCTACCCCACCCGAGGGCTTCAGTCTCCCCACCGGGCGGCCCCACCCTTCCTCTGCCTGGGTAAGAGGGGCAGCACTGCGCCAGCAGGTGCCAGGCTGGGTATGCGTGCCCAGCTCCACCAGGACGCTCCAGGGAGGCCCCGCCCTCTCCCACCGAGCCCTCAAATACCCCCCGGCGCTCCCCCCGCCGTAATCCAAGGCCACACGCAGCGCAGGGCCGGGGTCCTGGGTCTGCAACGCAGGGCCCTTCTGGCCGCCTATGGCCGCTCTACGGGGTGGCGCCGCCTCCCTAAGAGGTGCGCAGACAGAGGCGAGAGCACCGCGGCTTGGCGCCTTTCGTTCATGCAGTCAACACACGTTTATTGGGCGTCGACTCTGTGCCAGGCCCCGGCGGCCGCAGGGGGCTCGGGGACGAAGCACACGCGGACCCTGCTCCCGGGCGCTCACGCCCGCCGAGCAGTCGGTCACGTCGGCGAACACTCACGGTACAGTGCGGTCAGTGTGGTGTTAGAGGTAGTGCAGGTGACACAGAGGAAGGGCCCCGGCCCGGGGGAGGCGGGGAGGGCCTCCTGGAGGAGGGGACACTGGAGAGGGCTGTAGGGTGTGAGCAAGAGTTAGGCTGTCCGAGGGAGTGGCTGCTGCAGAGCTGGAGGGGCGGGGGGTCCGCCGTGGGGGCGGGAGGCTCGCAGGGAGGCCACGGAGCCGCAGGCGACAGGGAGCGCTGAGGGTGTGAAGCAGTGGTCAGTGGGGGCACAGGGCCCACGGGAGCCAGCGCAGAGCATGGCCAGGGAGGGGACACGGCCGCGGGCAGCGGAGGACGGGGAGGACGGCGGCCGGACCCAGAGTCAGCAGGGTGGGGGCGGGGGCGAGGGCTGCCAGCCCCGGGGCCACAGGGTACAGAGCACGGGGTCCAGCGGCTTGAGCGTGGCCTGCTCCTGCAGCCCGTAGCGCTGCCCGGGCACCAGGCGGAACTCGAGCCTCTGCAGCAGCTTGGCCATGACCACCTTCACCTCCATCTGCGGGGCCGAGGCACAGGGAGCGCGGCAGGGCGCGGTGAGGGCCCCGCTTGGCCTCCCGCCTCACCCCAGCCACCCGGGCCCCGCCCGGGCCTCCTACCTGAGCAAACTGCTGCCCGATGCAGGAGCGGTGGCCCAGGGAGAAGGGGAAGTAGGTGAACCGAGGTCTGGGGGAGACAGCGGGGGCGTTGGCGCAAGGCACGCCGCGGTGACGCAGCCGCCCTCGCTGGTGGCCGCTTTGCTCCGGGTGCAGACACACACCGCCGGCTCTGCCGCCCGCCACGCGCACGGGAGGACCTGAGCTCAGAGAGCCAGCGCCGCTGCCCGAGGCGGCTGCTCACGTTCAGAGCGGGTCTGAGCTCAGGCAGGGGCACGCGGGCTGATCACCCCACCACTCTGAGCTGCGGCTGCCCCCAGCGCCGCCTCCTGGGATCTGGAAGCCGTGTGTGCTCTGCGGGCACTGATGGCTCACAGCGGAGGCCCTGGTGACCACCCTGCTCCCACCAGGCCAGCTCGCAGCAGGACTTACTTCGGTGCTCCGGGGCTGAAGCGATCGGGGTTGAAAGTCAGTGGGTCCTCGAAGTAGGTGTCCATCCGCCCCATGACATAGGTGCTGAACTGCCGGGCAAAGGAGCTGGTGTCCCAGGTTCCCCCGGCTGTGTCCCTCGAGCCTCCCGACCCCCGGGAGCAACCTAGTGGGGAGCTCAGAGCAGAGCGGACCCCGCTCTCTGCCCAGCCCCGCAGGCAGGCGTGGCAGTCACTGTCCCCCCACACCCCTGGCACAGGCCAAGGTCCCACAGCCTGCTGTGTGCCAGTCACCACACACCAGCGCCTGCCTGGCACAGCCCTCTGGGGAGTTACCAGTGCCCCCTCTTCACAGATGAGGAAACTGAGGCTCAGTGAGACACCTGGTGGCTTGCAGAAGCCATCCAACAAGCGCATGGCCCAAGGGAGGCCTGCACTGGGGTGTGGCCCTGTGAGGCTGTCTTCCCTCCCTCCCTGCAAGCTGTTGCTACCCCCTTTCCTTAAACTCAAGGCTTCCTATCTCTGGTCAGGAGAGAAATGCAAATTAAAACAACACTGAGATTCCACCTCATCAAGAAGTCAGAGGACAGCAAATGCTGGTGAGGCTTCAAGGCTGGGTGGGGTGGGGGACACTCTTCTACAGTATTGGCGTGGAGATCAGTGTGGAGATTCTTCGAAAAACTAAAACTAGAAATTCCATTTGACCCAGCTATTCACCTCCTAAGTATCTTCCCAAAAGAGTTAAAGACGTCACGTTACAGTGATACCAGCACACCAATGTTTACAGCAGCACAACTCGTAATAGCTAAATCTTAGAGGTGGCCTGTATATCCACCAGCAGATGAACGAATAAAGACAGTGAGCTATTTATACATGATGGAGTACTACTCTGCCATAAAGAAGGATAAACTTGAATAATTTGTAGGAAAATGGATGCACTTTGAAACCATAACCTTAAGTGAAATATATCAGACGCACAAGCTTCAATATCGCATGGCTTCTCTTATATGAGAAAACTCAAATTATAAATGAAGAGCAAAATAAGAAAATAGATAGTATGAAGTAAGGAGATCTTTCCCAAATGGGAAGGGGACCAAGAGAGGGAGGGAGGGGAGGGAAAAGAGATGAAAACAGGAGTTAAGATGTGAGGTTTGTGTACAAACCCTGAGAAACAGCTGTAAACGATAGGTACTGAAACACGCAGTACTACAAATGTACACACAGCTCAACAAACTCTCAAAGCTTCCTTCGGGCTCAGGGCTGGGCTGAGGGGAGCGGCAGCCCTGCCCCCAGCCTTTCACTTGCAGCTGGGCACTTCTGATGGGGCTCAGTCCTCCCTCTGCACCCCGCCCTCATCCCCGGAAAGCTGCACACCATCACCTGGACCTCAGGCGCTGGCCGCGGCCTCTCCACCCCTGGACAGAGTCTCGGGAGCTCACCCAGCCCTGCCCCACCAGTCGGAGTCCAGGGCAGCAGGCAGAAGCAAGGCCTGGGGCTGAGTCCCACAGCTCCAGCAGGAGGCTGAGAGTGTGGCGGGGCCCAGGGCACCTGCTGTGGGTCTGGGATTTCCCCGGACCTCAGATGGGCCTCATCCTGTGGATCTTCTCAGTGGAGTGTGACTTGGGGCCATCGTCTCTGCCTGACAAGGGCGGACCCAGCCAGAGGGTCCCGAGGCTCTGACAGGCAGGACCCAGGGAGCCAGGAGCCCCACAGGCTGCGTCTGTACACTCTGAGCCCCAGGTGGCTGCCCCGGGTGCAGGAAGAGCCGCAGGCCGTGCTTCTCGATGGAAGGACACACGAGCGTGGTGGGCGTAAGACAGAGTGGTGCAGTCGGGGATGAAAGACAAGATCAGCAAGACGGAATGGAAACCGCTGGAGACAAGGCCCGGATGTGTGTGAGGGAAGCTGGGCAGAGCCGGAGCAGGGGCACCGGGAGTGCATTGCTCTCCTCAGGTCAGAACAAAAAGGGATCCTGCCCCGGGCTGAACTGCACCCCACCAAATTCCTATGCTGAAGTCCCAGCCTCAGAGTTGGACTGCATTTGATGAAGGGTCTTTAACGAGGTGATTAAGTTAAAGGGAAGTCATTAGACTGGGCCCTCATCCAGGGTGACCTTGCCCCATAAGACAAGAAAAGCAAGATGCAGACACAGGAGGGCCAGGTGAAGACCAGAACAGAGGGCGTGTGCGAGCCGAGGAGCGGGGCCTCAGGGAGACAACCCTGCCCATGCCTTGACCTTGAGCTTTCTGTGGTGCAGGCCCCCAGCCTGAGGCATTCAGTCCAGGTCACCACGGTGGCCCTGGTAAACCAACACGATCCCTACCTCACAGCCATACACAGAGCCAACTCTGGTGGATAAAAGCTTATCTTTCTCAAGAAAAATGGAAAATTCTTAGAAGGCAATGGAAGTAAATTCCCTCTGAGCTCAGAATGGGGAAAGACTTCTTAAACAAGACAAAATTTTAAAGCTAACCAGTAAAAAAACAGTTAAGAACCTCAGACTGTCAAAAATGCGTTAATGAAGACAAGCACGAGTCTTGGGAATCATGCCGCACGGACAACAGACAGGATTTCTATGTGAGTTTTTCTTTTAAGTCCAGCAACAAAAACGGGCAAACCGAGCCAGCATCTCACAGAAGAGGAGCAAGCAGGCAGGGACGATCTACCTCACCAGGAGTCAGAAAAGTTCGAGTTACGACCACTGCAAAATGCTTTCGGACAGGGCAGTAAGACACCAGACCACCGAGTGGCAAAGGTGAGGAAGAGTGGGTCTCTCCAGCGCCACTAGGGGGCGTCCGAGCTGGCACAACCACTTGGGCAACCATCTGGGACAAACTTGTAAACTTCAACACCCATGTGCCCCACATCCGCCCCACTCCCCGGGAGGGGGGGGTGCCCCAGAAGCAGTCTGAACTCCACACCAGGACACAGGGGCCCACAGCTGTGGGGTGCCGGAACCACTCCCATGCCTGCAGCCTGGACATCCTGGTACCACCCGGTGGGACTCAGTTGAAAGAGCACGGGGCAGTCAGGAGAGCCTGGAGAGGTGACCAGCGCAGACCCCGTGGCCTCCTGCTGAGTCCCCGACTGGCCACCGCAATGGGAGCAGCGGCAGCCCACCCCGGAGCCCCACGCACCAAGAGTGGAGTGTTGCCGGGCACTCGGACCCCGTCGATGAGGGTCTCCTCCTCCAGCAGGCGGAAGGTGCCCCAGGCTGGCGGGTACAGCCTCAGTGACTCCTTGAGGACCTGTGGGCGCCACAGGGAGATCGCAAGTCCCAGGCCCCTGGAGGGCCCACACCCGCCACCCTCCACCTCCACACCCCACCCCAGGTCCCCGAGCCCAGGACCTCACCACCTCAAGGGACAGATAGGGGAAACTGAGGCCCAGAGGAGCAGGGAGCTGGGCCAGGGCTCCTCCACTGTCCGTCCAGATGGAGGACCGCGGCGAGCTGTGCTGACAGCCGGCCAGGCAGCGCAGGGAGGAGTCTGGGACAGCCTGCGCCTGGGGCAAGGGTGACCTCCTGGGAGACACTAGAGGCAGCCAAGGCTGCAAAGCACGGTGCGGAAGGGGCAGGGGGCCGTGGGCTGACTCGACGAAATGCCCGCATCTGCCCAGAAGCGTCTCTCCTCTGCCCACACCTGAGACAGGTACTGCAGTCTGCCCAGGTCCTCGTAGTCCAGGTGCCTCTTAGAACCAATGACCTCGTCCACCTCAGCCTGCAGCCTGTCAGGTGAGACACGGTCAAGGCCGTCACCAGAGGGAGACTTCTGCCCTGCTGCAGATGGTGCTAACGCAGCAGCTGTCTCGTCCGGAACCTTCCGAAGACCTCAGAGCACCCGCTCCACGCTAGGCGCTCGGTATCAGCTGAACACACCCTGCACAGGGCCTGCGCACGAGGTGGGCATCGTGGCCTGGGGGACAGCAGTCAGCGGCAAAAGTGGCCCAGGGACACTGGCTGGGGAAGTTGTGAGATGTGCACAGTAGAACAGGGTGCGGCGTTGGGACGGACTGGAGCGCTGCGGGCGCTGCTCAGGAGCAGAACGCTCGCCCAGCCTGACGTGGGGGCTCGATCCCCAACGCCAGCGGGGGGAGGAGGCAAGGCCTTGGACCACTTCCACCACGGGGAGTGCTTTGAGCAAAGTAAAAGTAATAAGAGCTGCTGAGGACACAGACATTGGAGCCCAGGTGTACGGCTGGCGGGAATGTAAGACGGTGTCGCTGCTGTGAGACACCCTGGCCGCTCCACAGAAAAGTGAAAAAGGGTTAGCAAACGGCCCAGCAACCCGGCCCGGTATACACGCCAAAGAACCGAAGGCAGCAGCTCTGGGAGGCAGCAGCAGGCCGTAGTCGAGGCGGTGCTTGTCTGCCTAGTGGACAATAGGAGCAACCCAAGTGTCCAGCTGCCCGTGGAGGGACAGATGGGGGGCCCAAATGTGTCTGGCCACCCAGTGGAGAGGGACCCACTTGTTCCACACAGCGGAATGGGATCCACTTGAGAAGGAAGGGGATTCTCACACCTGCTGCAGCACAGACGGACTCTGCACGTATTATGAGGGACGAATACGTCAGTCCCGAGAGGTCAGCATGGCCCAGTGCTAGTACAGAGGGGCCGAGAGTAGACAGGTGCCCGGAGCAGGGCTGCTGGAGGGCTGGGGCCGGAAGTGAGGCCCCAGCCAAGGGGACAGAGCTCCAGGTTGCGAAGGTGAAGACCGTGGAGGTGGACGGGGGCGAGGGGACTTTCTGCCGCTGAACTGTACGCTTAGAAACGATTAAAGCACTGAACTGGAGCCGGGCGCGGTGGTGCACACCTTGGACCCCAGCACTCCAGGAGGCTGAGGCAGAAGGATCACAAGTTCAAGCCCAGCCTGGGCAACTTAGTGTTTCAAAATTTAAAACCATTTAGAAAGGGTTGGGGATATAGTTCATCCAGCCTGAAGGCCCTGGATTCCATCTGCAGCACCTCAGAAATTTTTTTGAAAAACTTTACATGATATAACTTTACACTATATATCTTGCCACGATTGCAACATAGAGAGGACAGGGGAGAGATGACTGTCCCGTGGGGAACACTGTGATGGACTTCAGGACAGAGCAGGCGGGCACAGACCCAGAGCTGCTAGACAGAAATTCCGTCCATGGCGGCCCATGGCTGGCGGGGGGGACGGAGACGGGTGGGGTTGCCAGTTTTATCATTTTAACTTCTGTGCTTTTCCTATGTTTTTCTTTGTGGTGCTATGTGCACCAGGCAGGCGCTGTACAACCAAGTGACAGCCCTCATCCGCCAATTTTTTATACGAACTACATATGACATTAAATACATATTTTTTAAACCAGAGGCTACTGTATGTCCTCAGATAACCTTTCATTCTGCCCTTTTGATGATGAAGATGATGAATACTTTTTTGTTTGTTTTGCTTTTGGAATAGGATTTGCTCTGTAGCCCAGGCTGGCCTTGAACTCTCGATCCTCCTGCCTCAGTCTCCTGAGTGCTGGGATTACAGGAGTATGCCACCATGCCTGGCAATGACTGACACCTGGAACTCGGGCCTTCATCCTCCAAGAGTGCCCAACCCAAGGTGCCTTTGTGCTTTGTTCGGGCTGGGGGTGGCATGTGCAAAGGCCCTGGGTGCAGGGAAGCAGGGGTTCAGCCTTGGAGAGGGTGCAGGTGGCTTCAGGAAGGAGATGTCAGAAAAGCCCCTCTGCCAATCCCCGGGGCAGCGCCCTACCTCGCCACAATCTCGGGCTGGCGCGAAAGCTCCATCACTGTGAAAGCCAGGTGGTTGGCAGAAGTCTCATGACCTGCAGGCAGAGAGGGCAGCGGCTGCTCCACATGGTGCCGGGGCTGCTGGTCGCCTGGCCTCTGAGGCCGGGAACAGATGGGGGACAACCGACAGGAGGGAGCCTCCCAGGCCACCTGAGAGCCAGCGCCCGCCGAGCTCGCTGCAGGGGCAAGAGGTACAGGCGAGCACCGGAAAGTGGAGGTGGCTGCCAGGTGCCACCGAGCCCAGCAGAGGCCCTGGCAGGACACAAGGCGGAGGGGAGCTGGTGACGTGCGCTTCCCCCCGGGGTCCCAATGCCATCGGGAAACCCCTGAAGGCCTCCCTGTCAAGGAGGCACCTGAGGTCCTACTGCAAGGTGAGGAGGGCTTTTCTGGGAGATAAGGACACCAGGGAGATCTGTGCTGGACAGATGCACGGAGGGGCCCCGCCCCCTTCTGTGCGGATCTAACCAAGGCCCCTGCTTCAAGGGGAGCCCGGACCTGGTGCCACCAGCGCCACACACACCCACCACTGCCGGCTCGGTGACCAGATGGGAAGGGGGCACGAAGACCGCAGAGCGAGAGGGTCCCTGCCGCCCTCACGCAGCCCCAGCGGAACTCTCGGGCAGCCCTGAAGCCCCTTGGCCTGGGCTTGGCCACCCGAGGCGCCCGTGATTTCTGCAAAGGTCGAGCCCGGGGCCACCTCGGAAGCTACGCACCGGCAATGAAGAAGGTGACAAAGTTGTCCAGCAGGACCTCGTCGTCCTGGGCTCCCTCTTCCGCTGAAAGAGAAGGAGACCCTCAGTCCCCCCACCCCAGGAAGTCCAGCTCCCCTTCCGCATGGCTCATGAGAGAGCCAGCTGTCCCAGCACTCCAGGAGGCTGAGGCAGGAGGATCTTGAGTTCAAGCCCAGCTTGGGCAATTTATTGACTTAGTGAGACCCGGTCTCAAAATGAAAAGCGAAAAGGTCCTGGGGATGTGGCTCAGCGTGAAGGCCCTGGGTTCCATCGCAGTATAAGAGAGAAAGGGGACAGGAAGGGAAACGGAAAGGAACGGAACAGAACAGGAAGGAACCGAACCAAACCGAACCGAACCGAACAGACCCGGTCTTCCTCCGCAGCGGAGAAGCAGGCAGCCCCTCCCGCCGTGTCCGCCGCCCCGCCCGCACCTTTGAGCATCTGGGTGAGGACGTCGGCCGGGACGCTCTCGCCCCGCTGCAGGGCCTCACGGCGCCGCTGGACCCAGTCCTGGCCCACCTGGCGCAGAAGGCGGATGCTCGCCCGGACCTCGCGCAGCTGCTTCCTCCAGCCCGGCGTGAACTGGAAAGAACCGCGGCTCAGAGCCCAGAACCCACCCGCCGGACGCAGACCCGCAGCTGGGGCCCCCGCGGGAAAGCTGGTGAGGATTCACCCAGCACCGGGTCCTGAGCGGCACCGTAAAGAGGCCCCAAGGCAGCACTGGGAAGTGACAGGGACCCCCGAAGGGTGGAGACAGCTAGAGTGGCATCACAAAGGAGGAAATCAAGTGGCTGCAAAGATGGGGTGGCAGTGGGGACTGCAAGCTCAGAAAATGAAGTCCCAAAGCACAGGACAGGAATCCAGAGGTCAACTCAGGAATCACCTTTCCCCTGTCTTCTTTCTTCGTGTGAAATAAGGAAGTGATAGCTGGAGCTACAGCAGGCATTTTATGACAATGAGGTGATGGCTGAGGACGGGAACACAAAGACAAGGATTCAGGAACATCTGAGGTGAGGGAGCCACCACAGCCACCCTAGATTGCCTGCTTTGGGGACCATTTACTGAGAGAGAGATTAACTCCTAACTGAGCCACTTTGATTTTGTGCCTGCACTTTAGTCAGTGCCCACAAATCCTGGTACCAGAACTCAAAACCCACTCTGAGAAAACTACTGCAGGATGTGCCACTGTCAACGCAGGCAGCACAGCGAAGGAAGCAGGTCCTGGCGGGCAGGGGGTTACCTTTGCAAGAGTGTTGCGGGACGCACTGATTCCCTCCAGCATCACTTTCACTGCCTGGGACAGAGGCTTCTGGGCACCCAGTAGCATGCTCGTCTCCATCCCAAAAGCTGCCTGGGGGCGAGAGGAGGGTGTGTCATACCCAGGGGCGGAGGACAGAGACAGGCAGAGCTGGGACCCGGGCCTGGGCACACACGTCTGTGCAGCGTGTCATCTCTCCTCACAGTGAGCTCTGCCGCGGAGCATGCAGGCCCAGCCCCACACCTCTGGGCGTCGCTTTCTAGAGAATCGGGAGCAGCCCCAGACTCACGCTAGGTTGCTCTGACTATTCAAGGAAGCCAAGCATGAAAAATTCAGGGAGCACAGTGAGGGGGCAGGAGCGGGGAGGAGAGCAAGCATGGGAAGAGGGAAGAGGGGGGAGTGCACCGTCTGTCCCGCGCGCCCCTCCCGGGACCTTCGCCCTGCGTCCCGCGTCACCTTGGCCAGGATGTCGATGGTGGCGCAGGTCAGCATGTCTTGCATGGACACCGGGGTCTGCCCATCCGCCTTGGCCTCCAGAATCTCCACCAGCTGTTCCGCCTTCTCGTTGAATGTCTCCATCAAGCTGACCAGGGAGCTGGGGAAACAGCACGGGCGTCAGTGGCCCCCAGGACCAGCCCTGCTCAGAAGCTGCCCGGGGCTCTGCCTCTCTGCAGAGCAGGCAGGGGCCCTCAGCCTCTCCGACCTCCCCTCCAGATGCAGATTGTAGGCTGGGGTCCCAGGAACCAAGCCCTGGAATTTCAGCATTCCCCTCCCCTTTGGATGGACACTGCCCTTTGCCTTGTCTTCATGGCTATATAGGTCCTGTGTCTGCCAGCGGAGACCCCCCAACTCTGACCCAGAGGGCCACAGCAGCACTGAGACTGTGGGGTCTCCCAGAGTCCACGATGCGGCCCCCTCGGCCCCCTCCTACCCCTGCTCACAGCATCCACTCTCACCTGCCCTCCCTCGGGCCACATCTGTACCCCTTACCCCATTTCACTTCTACCCTTACCCCATTTCACTTCAATCACAGCATCCAAGCATAAATGAAACGAGTCCCCAGAAGCCATCTGAAGCTCAGAGCTCCCGACCCACAGCGCTCCCTGACCTGGGACAGCTCATCTCCCAGGCATATGTCAGAGAGACATACGCAAGGATGCGCTCCAGACTCACAAAAACTGCACACCTGAGGGAGTGGAAGGGGGCAGGCTGCACTTTGTATGTTACGTACTTCTGGGTCTTTATTAGGAGAAACTTCTGTCTGTCATTCAAAGCATTTTTTAAACTTCTAAACATTCTTTATTTTTACATTATCAAAACACAAGACAGTCAAACAAACAAAACCTTGCACATAGGAAAATCATAATCAAAATGAGCTTCAGTACTTTTTAAATATTGGGGGAAAGCAGTAAACGAAATTCTACTAAGAGGTATCCTTTATAATCCCCAAATTTAAGAGAAATCATGTAGTATTCCCAGATTAACTAACAGTAAATTATTAAATACAAAGAGGGTAAGAAAATAAATTACTAAAAATTTGAGTCCCTCTATTTAATAGGAAGTTTGCTGGCAGAAATCTAATAAACACAGTAAATGAAAACATGGTTTAGAGCTTTAACAAACTTTCCACCAAAGTTATATTCAGTCTGGCAGACAGTCACATTCAGTCTGGAAGCTTAGCCCAAGGATGGCGGAACCGCTCATTGTACAGTTAATGAATTTACTACAGAATATCACTTTAATAACTATATTAGCCAGGCATGGTGGGACATGCCTGTCATCCCAGCACTCTGGGTGGGGTGAAGCAGGAGGGTCACAAGTTTGAGTCCAGCCTGGACAACTTAGTGAGACACTGTCTCAAAATAAAAAATAAGGAAGGGCTGGGAACATGGATCAATGTAAAGGGCCTGGGCTCAAACCCAAATCACGAGAGGGAGGAATATATCAGCAATGTTTGGCCTATAGAGTGTCTATGATATTGTAAAACTGCACAAAATGTTAATTGTGCACAGTAACTTTTAATATAGTAAAAATCTTTTAAAATTCTGAAGCCACAGGAAATCAGGCTGGATATAGTTTGTGGAGAAAAATTTAATGGGATTTTAAACTATCAGATCTGTTTTTTACCCCCTACACACACACACACACACCAGCAACATGAACACAGCATTCCAATATTTCTTCAAGGCAAGCCAGTCAGCACAAGTGGCAGATGATTATTCCTCTCATAATTCATTGAATCAATAATGTTATCTCAGCCAACAACACAGGTAACCTGCCTTATATCAGAGATATAAAACCAATATAGAAACCACCCCAAAGCTTGCAATATTAGAACTGAAAGCTTTCTGCATTTGTAAATTAATGGTTTTTGAGAGGGAGGAAGATCTAAGGTACTTGAAGATACCATAACATCTTAAAAGTTATAATAAAAGGGAATTGCCGGGCATGGTGGCACATTCCTGTAATCCCAGCACTGAGGAGGTAGAGGCAGGAAGATTGCCATGAGTTCAAGGCCAGCCTGGGCTACATGGTGAGTTCAAGGCCAGTCTGAGCTACACAGCAAGACACTGTCTCAAATATATACATATTAAATGAAAGGGAAGGCCTACTCATACTAGCTCTTAAAACTCACAAGTTATAATAATGTAAAACAAATTTGTCACAAGCTGATTTGCAGTGTTTATACGCTAGTAAATTACAAATATGTATACCAGTGCAACACCATCCAAAAGAAAATGATGTCAAAAATATTTATGATAGGGGAGCCACGCCGAGCCCCGGGGAGCTGCGGGAGCCTTGGTGACCACACCCCCTGCCCCTTCACCTTCGCAGGAGCCCCTCTGAACCCTGGACAGCTTCGGGAGCCTCAGCGACCACGCCCGACACCCCCCACCAGCACAGGAGGCACGCTGAGCTCTGGGGAACCTCCAGATTTTGAAAATGACAAAACAAAGGAGCAAAATGCAATCTACGACCTCCTCCACACCCAGAACAACCCCAGGGGACGTTGGTACAGAAGAGCTTGTAATTCACACACCTGAAATTTCTGAAATGATAGCAACTGAGGTAAAGAAACAACTCCATCAGGCTATAGAAGAAATCAGATCAGAAATAATCTCTCAGGTAAGAAAAGAAATGACAACCATAATGAAAGAATTGATCAACACATCTAAAGAAGACATAGATTGAGTTCAATTCCCAGTACCAAAAACAAAAACAAGAAGATATAGATAATAAATAGAGGAGCATAGAAAGATGCTGGAAACCTTGAATGGAAAATACAGGAAAGAATTAGAATGCATGAGACAGATTCAAAGAGATGCCAAGGAAATTAAAAATTCCATCAAATGCTGGTGAAACTGCCTGAACGAAACAGAAGATAGACCTTCAGACCTCGGAGACAGCATTGCAGCTAGTGATCCAAAAGGAAAGATCTCTTAAAAATAACAAGGAACTAGGAAATAACAATTCAACAGCTGCAAGATGACGCAAAGAAAAATGATGTAAGACTGATAGGTGTCAACAAAACAGCAGGAATCAACACAAATGACATAAAAATAGTTATGATAAATAATATTATTGCACTTAACGTCATTTTCTTGAATCCCAAAATCAAATTCTTTCACGTATCAAACAAACAAGCGCAGTTCAGACTAGAGAAAATGTATGCTAACACCAGCTTCTGACAACAAAAATAAAGAAGTGAAAGCCTTGCCTATGATTTAGGTCAGGTGACAGGAAAACAGAAGGATATTAAAATTATTTATTTTATAATTATGCACGTTGAAGGAAAGCATATGAGAGTTCTTTTCCACCATAAAACTACACACATTTAGCCAGAAACACTAGCCTAAGCGGAACCAGTGTATTTCATTTCTAATAATTTCTTGAGGCAAACAATTCTCTTATATTTGGAGCATGTTGAGGAAAATAATGCCTCATAAGTCTTTTTTGTTCCTTTGAATCTCAACCACTAAGAGCTCAAGGTACTTTGGGAGAACCCTGTGTCCTGGAAGGCCTGAGGAATGCATTAAAATCAAGCAGTGTGTTTGCATCCTGAAAATACCCTTAAATCCACACAAATGTGGTGTGGGTTGCATTTTTATATTGACTTGAGTAGCGGGTACATGGTTATTCTTTGTCCTATTCTTATGAGAAAATTTGAAGTTATGTTCAAATAAAAAGATTTTTAAAAACACTAAAAAGGACTGGGGGCTCAGAGGTACAGTGCTTTTCTAGCATGTGTGAGGCCTTAGGACTGATCCACAGATACACACACACACACACACACACACACACACACACACACACGCTCACACGCTCACTGCTAAAAAGATAAAATGACAGAAGAGACACAAAGTAAGTTTTTCTTAGGCTCAGTAATACTTTCATAAACACAGACACCTTCCAGAGCCTCTTTCATGTAACTTGGCATTTATAATAAAATAGTCATTTTTATAATGATACTTATTGTGAGTTTAAGAAAATAAAAATGTTGACAGACCCTGTCTCAAGAAAAAATACAATAAATTTTTTAAAATGTTATTGGGGTGTGGCAGCACACATCTGTAGTTCCAGCTATCCGGGAGGCTGAGGCAGGAGGATCACAAGTTCAAAACAGTCTGGGCAATGTAGTAACTTAGCAAGACACTGTCTCAAAATTTTAAAAAAGCAATTTAAAAGGGCCGGGGATAGAGTCCATCCTGCAAAACAAAACACACCAGACAGTGCTGCTGGTGCCTGAGATGTGACCACATGGCCACCGTGTGGGAGAATCTTCATCCTTCATCACCCTCAAGGGTCCCTGGAGGCTTGGCTGGCCCTTGTAAGCTTGGCTCCAGCAGAAAGAATTCTATAAAGAAGATTTATTAAATGAAGGCCTCTCCTCCCGTCTATTCCTTCTCACTTCTGGGGACTTTTCAGTAAGAGGGACACAGCCGGTGTCTTGACTCAGGCACACATCAGCTCGCTCTCCCAGCGCTCCCGGGGCTTCCTGGGAAAGCCTGGTGCCGGGCTGGGACAGGAGCCAGGCAGCAGGGGACCTCTGTCTTTGAGGATCCGTGGTCTCATGGGGGGGACGGATGGGACTGGAAGCGGCGTGCTGTGTGGCAGGGGCTGTGGCAGAGGCAGGAACGCAGCCTGAGGGGACATCTTAGCTGGGTATCAGAGGAGGACGGGAGCCCTTGGGGAGCACACGGAGGCCGGGGATTGGCAGGAACAGGCAGAGCTATCAGAAAGAGCACAGCCACTCCACAGAGGCGGGGCAGGGTGACAATACCCAGGGCAGATGGGTTTGGAGCCAGAATCTCTCCTGGGCAGGACAGCAATGTATGGGAGGAGGGAGGTAGGAAGCAGGGAACCGTGGGAGTCCAGGAGGGGCCTGCAGGGCTGCACCCGAGCAGTGACAGCAGGCACAGCAGGGCCAATGGGCAGCACGCACCTTCTAATACAGCAGCGTGTGCAGCCCTGAAGATACGCACAGCCCAAGCCGTCAGACTCACACCGGAGGACAGACTACAAAGCTGCCCCGCCGTCCACTACAGCATTCAGAGCACGGTCAAGAAAAGACTGAGTGCTGGACATGGTAGCACATGCCTGTAACCCCAGCGGCTCAGGAGGCTGAGGCAGGAGCACTGCCATGAGTTCAAAGCCAATCCTGACCACATAGGAGATCCTGCCTCAAAAAACCAACCACACAAAAAGACAGAACAAAAGACTGAGAACTGTTCTAGGAGGAAGAGGTTAAAGGGCAAGGCAGGGGCTAGGGATTTAGGTCAGCTGCACAGTGCCTGCCTGGCAAGGGGAAGGTTGTGAGTTCAATTCCCGGTACTGGAAAAAAACCAAAAAAATAACAAAACAAAAAATAAATAAATAAATAAATAAATAAAATAAAGGGCAAGGCAGTGCAGTGTAACCTGTGCCCCGAACTCAACCTTGGACAAGGAAAAATAGCTATTTGGGCATGTTACGGCTTGTGTCTGCATTTTCTTCCAAATCCTCATGCAGTCAAGGGGCAGGCTTCTAGATTTTTGATTGATTCACAGTGCAATGCTGGGATTATGGATGTGAGTGCTATACCTGCCCTGGGTGGGTTGTTTGCATACAGTGTAAGGGAGGGAAAGAGCCTAGCTCTCTGCCACTCCTCCCCTTTGCTCTTGCTGCTTTTGCTGTCTTCCACCACCACAACCTGTTGCCCTCTGCCATGTGCCACTCTGCTTTGGAGCCAGCCAAGTGTGGACGGAAACCTCCACAGACTGTGAGCTAAATAAACTTTTCCTTCCTTAATTTTGGGTGTCAGGTATCTTGTCTCAGCAACGAGAGAAAAGTAACCAAGCCAGGGCCCAAAAGATGAAATTTAAAAGTGGATTAGATGACAGTTTTAGATTGATTTTTCCCCCTTCATTTTGATAATGGAACTGTAGCTATGTACTAGTGCCCTTAGGAAATTGTGCACGATGTATTTGACAGTGGAGAGAACAATGCTTCTTAACTTATTCTCAAATAGTTTTTACATATACACCATATAAAAATTATATGAATACAAATCAGAGGCAAGGGATAAAGTTATTCATACACACACATAAAAAAATGATAAAGCAAGTAATGATTTTAACAGCAAATGACAAGTGAAATCTGAGTAAAAGATATGCAGAAATCCCTGATACTAATATGGCAAATTTTCTATAAATTTGAAATTTTATTGAAGTAAAAGATGATCTTCCTAAAAATATTAAAGAGTTACCCTATTACCCAGGTATGTAGCCAAAAGAAATGAAAACATATCTAAAAAAAGAACTCCTATAGACATGTTCATAGCAGCCTTATTATAATAGCCAAAAAGTAGAAATGAGCCCAATGGTCATTAACTGCAGAATAAAAGAATGATGTGTGGTATCCATACAATGGAATACTATTCAGCAACAAAAAGGGAGAAGTACTGATTCTGATGGGCTATGAAAGGAACCAGCCAAGAAAGTACTGTTCTAAGTGAAAGAAGCCTGCCCAAAGGAACACGTATTGCAGGACTCCATTTGTGTGAATTGTCTAGAATGTGAACGCCAGGGACAGGAAGTAAATGGGGGAGGAGGCACTGGGGAGCAACTGGCTTTGGGGTGATGCAAATGTCCTCAAATATTGGCGTGGCAGCTTCCCAAGTTCACAGAGAGGACTAAAAGCCGTTGGACTGTCCATTTCAAGTGGGTGAGTTATTTGGAATGTGAATTCTCTTGCAATAAAAGAGTTACTGATGTTAGAAGTGGTGATGCGCGCCCATAGCGCCGGCACTCCAGGAAGCTGAGGCAGGAGGATCACAACTTCCAGCTCAGTCTCAGAAAACGTAGAGATTTCCTAAGGCCCTGTTTCAAAATTTAAAAATTAAAAAAGGGCTGGGCCTGCAGCTCAGTGCGGCACAATTCTCAGGGAGCAAAGAGCCCCACGCCTCCGGCCAGTGTGGTCACTCGGCCCAACGCTCCCCGGTGCACAGGGCCCGCTGGTCTGGCTCCCTTGCCACCACGGACGCCCTGTGTCCAAGTCAGTCCGGCTGGGCGAGGTTCCCTTAGGCCACGCCCCTCCCGGAGCCCCCCACCTCGCGGTAGCCTGTGCCCCGGTGACTCAGCCAGGCCTGGGCGACGCGGCCAGGTCCCCCGCACTCACCTCCGGCTGAAGGCCAGGTCCATGACTTTGCGCTGCTTGTGCCACCGCTCGTAGTCACACTCGGACACCAAGCCCCGGCCGAAGAGCCTGCGGGACGCAGGAAAGTCATGCTCGGATGGGAGCGAGGAGCCGGCGTCCTGCAGGGTCAGCTCAGGGGTGACAGGTCCCGGACCCGGACTGCGAGTGAGCCAGCCGCCCCCGTCAGACGCGCGGACGCGGTAGACACGGGGAACCTCACGTTACATCAACTGTACCATGCAAACTAAGTCGTACACAGGGACTGAAACGGCAGGGCTGCCCTGCAGACACACACAGCTTTTTATGCGTGTGAATAAATAAGAAATGGGGGGGTCTGTGCTCCAAACTCAGCAACCCCCACCCCACCTGTCCCCGGGGGGCAGGGAGCAGGAAGGAGGCGGGGACCACCGCAGGCTCACCAGCGTGGGTCCCCCGGCACATGCCTGCCGCCCCTGCCCTGAGCCGCCCCTCCTCACCTCTCTCCGAACACTGTCTGGAGGGCGCGGTACATCTTGGAGTCCTTGTTGTACTTGGTTGACATCAGGAACTTCTAGACAGCCCCAAAAAACCAGCGTGAGCCTGGGGGCCCGCGAGAGCCCGCGCAGGACTCTGGTGAAAGGCGCCTCAGAGCTGCCACACCTCACGTCTCCCGTGACCCTGGCATCAGCCCAGGAGGCCCGGCTTCAAGTCGAGCGACCCCATGGGGACGACGAGAAGGGGCCAGCTGATTTGTCTCCGGCCGCACAGCTCCGGGGCTGCCAGAGACACAGGAGCGACCTGGCACGGGCCTGGTGCCCTGAGTCCGACCAGCTACAGAGGTTGAGAGACTGCAGGGGCTCAGCACTCCTGCTTCCCCACAGGCTAACTCAGCTCCCTGGTGAGCCGGTCACCTCCTCATCTGACAGGACGGAGTGACAAGAGTGTCTGCCTGCTCGGGCTGCAGGGAGGAGTAAATTCATTCTTCCTGAAAAGCCTGGCACACAGCAGGTGCTCACAAAATGCCAGGCACACAGGGCACCTTGCATGAGCTTATTCAGTGCCCTAGGGCATGCGGGCTACCGTCATGCAAGCAGAGGAAAGAGGGTTTCAAACCGGCCCCAAGCTGGCCGCACTTGTGAGGACACAGGATTCGGTCTGGGGAGGGGAGAGAGGCCTGTGGCCTGGGCCGAGGAACCCAGGGCCCGTGGGATGCCGAGCTTGCTCCTGGTGGCCCTTGGAGGCAGTCGGGGACTCCCGCGCCACAACCAGGGCTGCTCACCTCTATGAGTTCTGCTCCTGGTGTCCAACTCTGATTTTTTAGCTGAAAGGAAACACACAGCCAGCCGCAGCCAGGCTGTCCCCAGATGCTGTCACTTATGACCAGGCCCTGGCATCAACCAGTTTACCTGGAGCAAGACCACAGCAGCAGATGCCACCTCCACGTGCCTGGGCAGCCCGCCCTAACTGAACTAAAGACCAGTGTCCCCGCAGCCTACTGCCCCAGGGGCTGGGGCCCTGCGGTGGCCACTGCAGCGCGCTTCGGGATGAGGGGCACACGGAACTACCGGCGCTTGCCCCTTCCTCTGGTCACCCCCACTGATGGGTCCCTGCTGCCCACAGGGCCACAGACTCTCCTCCTGCCCTCCCCAGAGGGAAAATGGGGCAGAAAGGCACGGAATGTCTGTTTTCAGACATCCTTTGCAGACAGGCAGTGCAGAACTGTGAACCAAAAGGACGAGAAAGAAAAAAAGGCATGGGGTGTGACCTGGGGTTAGCCCAGTTTTCTACCTAGAGGCAATTCCAGGTCAGCATCGCGAACAAAGAGACCCAGATACAGTCCAGCAGCACGGGGAGCTGGACACAGACACCGGAGTCCAGGAGGGTGAGGGACATGAGCTGTGCAGAGACCAGCCGGGTTCCTGGAGCAGGGACAAGCACCCATCGGGTGGCACCGTGGGGCAGGGAGGAGGACTCCAGGGGAAGAGAGGATTACCGGGCGACTGTGGGCTGAACTCTTCTCAGGCCACAAAGGGCCAAGCACTGCTCCAGTCCTCATGGGACACAGGAAACAACGCCCGGCACGGAGCGCTAGCAGAAGCCTCCCAGAGGGCCACTCCCTCACGGGGACACCCTAGCACTGGGGTCGAGTCTCCTCTGGACCCAGCCGCAAAAGCCTGAAAGCAAACCTGGAGAGGGTCGCACTGAGTGGAGGCCTCTTTACCTCCTCTCAGACAAAGGCCAGCACTCTTTAAAGGAACACAGCCACGCCATCTTTTTTGAACTTTTGAGATGGGGTCCTCGCTACCTTGCCCAGGCTGGCCTTGAACGCCTGGGCTCCAGTGACCTCCACCTTGGCCTGCTGAGTAGCTGGGATCCCAGAGGCTCAACCTCACACCCAGGGCCTAAAACAGAATCTAATGTTCAGCAGTGTAACATTCCCAATGCCCAGGATCCAACAACAACAACAACCAAAAAAATCGACCAGACAGGCCAAAAAGGAAAATCTGACCTATAATTAGGCTTAGAAACACTACATATGATAGACGTGGCATACAAATTTTCAAATATCTGCTACAAATGTTATAAATGTGTCCAAGGAACCCATACACCCAAGAAGTGCAAAGAAGCCCAAATGGAATTAACACAAAGCAAAGCACCTCAAGGCAGAGCATAACTCAACTGCTGGAAATAGTGATAAAGAGGAAAACATAAGAGCAGAGAGAGCTGGATAGTATACTGTGGTTAGGAGACAGACGCAAGTTGGTATCATAGACCCTAGGACAAGGGGAGAGACAGACAGACAGACAGAAATGGGCGCTAATAAGCCAATAGTAGAGGTAAAACAGAATGCTGAACAATACATAATCCAAAATAGAGCAAGAAGCCAGGAGTGGTGGTATAGCTCTCTAATCCCAGCACTCTGGGAGGCTGAGGCAAGAGGATGAAATGTTCAAAACCCACCTTGGGTATTTACTAATTTAGTGAGACACGGTATGAAAATATAAAAAATGAGATGGGGATGTAGCTCTGTGGGAAGAGCTCTGTGGGAAGACCCTAGGTTCAATCCCTAGCACCTCTGAAATGGAGAAGGAGGAGAAGGGAAGGAGAAGGAGAAAGGGAAGGGGAAGCAAAAGAAGAAGAGAAAGAAGAGGAGGAGGAGGAAGAAGAACAAAGAGTGAAAGAAAGGGGGACAGAGAGAGAGAGAGAGAGAGAGAGAGAAAGAAAGAAAAAGAAAGAAAAAGAAAGAAAGAAAGAAAGAGGAAGAGAGAAAGAGGGAGGGAAGGAGGAAGGAAGGAAGGAAGGAAGAAAGGAAGGAAGGAAGGAAGGAAGGAAGGAAGGAAGGAGGGAGGGAAAGAAGGAAAGAAAGAAAGAAAGAAAGAAAGAAAGAAAGAAAGAAAGAAAGAAAGAAAGAAAGGAAGGAAGGAAGAAAGAAAGGAAAAAAGAGAGAACAAACAACCCCTAGGGCGTGGTACTTAAGTCCCTGACTTAGGAGTGAGTTCTCAGAATTGTTCATAAGTGGGATTCATTTGTAAGCTACAAAATGAGTCTTATGCCATACACTTGTGAAAGTTTACAACTCAAGTGTTCATAAACTGGGGATTTACTGTGGATTTAAACCCACCTATTGAAAACCACATTAAACGTAAATGACCACTAATTTACTGAGACACGGTATCAAAGCATTCTGTTTAAAGACAGAGATTCTCAGACTGCTTAAAGCAGCAAGACCCAACTGCATGCTACCTGTAAGAACCCTGCCTTAGATAGAAAAACACAGGAGGGCTAGAAGTAAAATGATACAGCTGGGTGGCTGTATTGAAGGAGAAAAAATGTACCTCAGGGCAAAGAATCAGACCTAGGATGAAGAGGGACCTTCCTAAGGATACAGGTGCTGGTAGTCATGGCAACTCAGCAGTGTTAAGTGAGATGGACCTACCAGAACTCCAAACTACACTACGTACAATGGATAGAACTTAAAGTAGGAACACATCCATGTAGACACACTCAAAGTACACACATCCATGGCTTTGGGTATAGAGGCCAACTCGGCATACTTCATAACTGCTGGAATAAGTAGAAAAAAATTAGTAAGGATTTGGAGATTTGAAAAACATTAATAACATTATTGATCAATTGACCTAACTGATACACTCTATGTAACAATTATGGAATGTACATTCTTTTTTAAGTGTTTATGAACATTTATCAAAATGGGCTATTTTCTGTACCATAAAACACAATTCAATGAATTTAAAAGAATTAGAGTCATGATAAGTATTTTCTCTGATTTACAGAATTCAATTAGTGATCTGGGACATTTAATCATATTTAGAAACTGAAAAACATGCATCTAAATAATCTATATTTCAAAGGAGAAATCATGAAGTTAGAAAATAACTTTAAATAAAAAGGAAAACCTAACATTTCAAAGTGTTGGTAAACAAGTGCTGAAGCAGTGTTAGAATTCCCTTGAAATGTTTATATTAAAAAATAAAAAGGTCTAAAATCAATGATCTATATTTTTGTCTTAAAAATTAAGGTAAGAGGGCTGGAGGTTTAGCTCAGTGGCACAGCTCCTGCCTGGCAAGCACAAGGTCATGAGTTCCATTCCTGGTACTGGAAGAAAATCAAACAAAAAAAGAAAACATGTTAAAAATTGAGATAAGAATAAATTAAATCCAAAGTAAACAGAGGAAGAAAATAATGAAAGGTAGAAATAAAGTAGAAAATAGGCAAACAATGCACAAAAACAATAAAACTAGAAGCTTGGTCTTGAAAAAAAAATGAATAAAAACATGTAAACATCTTGCCAGACTGATCAAGAACTAAAAGATTTTGGGTGTAGTGGAACACCTGCAATCCCAGCCACTCAGGAGACTGAGGCAGGAGAAAGGAGAGCTCAAGGCCAGCCTGGGCTAATTACTGAGGCTGCGTCTCACAACAAAGTAAAAAAGTGTTGGTGTGTAGCTCAGTGGTAGACAGCATGCTTAACATGCTCAAGGTCCTGAGTTCAATCCCTAGCAAAGAAAGAAAGACAGAAAGAGAGAGGGAGAGGGAGGAGGGAGCGAAGAGAAGAGAGGAGAGTAGAATGGGGGAAAGGCAGGGGAGAGAAGGACCAAGGAAGGAAGGAAGGAAGGAAGGAAGGAAGGAAGGAAGGAACCCAAATTCTGTTCTCAGAAATAAACAAGGGAACATCACTACAGATCCTACAGACACTAAAAAGATCAGTAAATACTACGAAAACTTCATGCCAATTACAGTTTAGAAGAGAGGAACAATTCCCTTGACAGACATGAATTACCCTTAGGTGAAAAAATAGAAACTCTGAATGATTATATCAGTTAAATAAGTTGAGACAGCAAGGTCCTGAGTTTGATCCCCGGTACCAAAAAATAATAATAATAATAATAATAATAATAATAATAATAATAAATAAGTTGAGACAGAATCCTGACACTTCCTATGACATGAGTGAACCTTGGTGAAATGAGTCAGTTTCAAAAAGACAAGTACCGTATGACTCCACTCTGTCAGGGGCCTCAGGAAGTCAGTTAACAGAGGTGGAAAGTAAAATGCTGGTCCCCAGGGGCCCAGGAAGTGGGGAATGGGGATTTGTTGTGTAATGAGTGCAGAGTGTCAGCTGGAAAAGACGAAGAACTTCCAGAGACAGACGGCACGTGTGGACATACAACCACGAGAACGCACTGCATGCCTTGAACGACACACCTAGCAGTAGTTGAATCTGGACATTTTATCCACGTGCCCTTCCTGGTGAATTCTACCAGAAATTAAAGGAAGAAAAAACACCATTCTTGTCCACATTCTTATAGAAAACAGAGGAAGAAGTAACATGTCCCAACCTAGCTTACAAGGCTCAAATTAACCCAATACTAGAACCCAACAAGGGGGCTGGGGTGTGGCTGAGTGGCTGAGTGGCTGAGACTCTGGGTTCTACACCTAGCATCCCCAGAAGTTACAGTGCTGGGCACAGTGTCGCACACCTGTATCCCAGCACTTGGGAGGCTGAGGCAGGTGGATCGCTGTGAGTTCAAGGCCAGCCTGGACTGCATAGTAAGATCTCATCTCCAAAAACAAAATAAAAATAACTATAACACCTGACAAGGCATTACAAGGAAAAAAAAATACGAGAGAAAAACCCTGAACAAACTACCAGCCAAGTGAATCTAGCAGTATATATTATAAAGTGCTTAGAAATGCAAGGTTGGTGTAACACTCAACCATCAGTGTGATCCACCATATTAATACATATCTTTAAACTCCCTTTCTCTTGAAGCATCATGGAAGTCTGTGAAACTGAACTTTCTTAGGAAATGATTCGTGACATTCTGCCAGGGAGGCCGCAGTTGTTCAGCCTCTGTCTGGATGTGTACTTGGCATTGCACTGTGGGGCAGGGGTGCGGCTCTGTGGTGGAGGGCTGGGGACTCACCCCCAGTACTGCAGAAAGCCAATGACAGAAACAAGAACAACCCCCTCGTGTCCCGAGTTGTATCTTATCCCTCTTGGTGTTGCCATGGCCACCCGCTCCATGTCCACTGTGATGGAAAAGACGCCATTTGCCAGGCAACAACTGTGTGCCAGGCGTGGGCTACAGGGCTCACATGCATCACCGGAGGTCCATTCTTATAACCGCCTGTGAGAGGGCTTTGCCTCTGCCTTACAGATGAGAAAACTGAGGCCCAGAGTCATGACCTGGCTTGTCCCAGGTGCCAGGTCCCACGGTCAGTTGGGGGCAGAGCCTAGCCTGGACTCCAAAGCAGATAGTGGGTGCCCCTTTTCAGTATCTAGGTGGCATACCTTCCAGATGAATGCCACCTGCTCAGCTTCCGCATCTCTATTTGGGGACTAACAAGAGTCCCTGCCAGGCATGACAGAGCACACCTGTGATCACAGCACTCAGGAGGCTGAGGCAGGACGATCACTATGAGTTCAAGGCCCACCTGAACTACGTAGTGAGACCCTGTCTCAGAAAAAACACACTTTGTGTAGCGAACCAGAGAGAGAGAGTCATTCCCATCTCACAGATGGAGGGGCTCAGTCCAAGGTGGAAGAACTAACTGAACATGTGGCCAGTGGACCAACCCCCCCTAAACAGGGACATCGAGGTCCAACCCCACACCCTCATCAAATGACAGGGCTTGGAAGAAAGATGCCACCCCCTTCCGGATCCCTGGGAGAAGCGCCCGAGTGCACATGCTCTGGAATATTCCTCACAGTGCTGGGCCCTATACCTACCCTCACCCCTGGGAAAGGAGGGGCCTCACCGTCGGAACCGCGCAACTTCCTACCTTGACCGACTCGGGGCTGGTGATGATGACGGAGGTCTTGTGGAAGACGTTGACCCGAACCACAGGTCCATATTTCTTAGCCCTGGAAACCAAAGTGACCTGAAGGAGGCGTCAACGACCTGAGACACGGGCACCTCCAGCCTGGCCAGTGGCTCCTCAGCATGGGCCACAGGGACACTGGGGCTGGGCTGAGGTCCCAGGAGGCCTGAGGACAAAGCTCTGAGTCACATCCTCCCCCCGGCCTCAGTTTCCACATCCGTGAGACAGGGTTGACACACCTGTCCTTTGATGGCCCTAAGGCTATCCTGGGGATTAAACAATATCGTCCTTGGAAGTGTGTTGAAAAGTGTAAACTGCCACCCCAAACGATGACCACAATTTAGTACCCCCCCCCCAGTTTACAGATAGGGAACCTGAGGGTCAGAGGCTCCTGATGGCTGCTCTAAGGTCCCTTGGTTGGTGAGGAGCAGGCGGTGGCTTCCACCCTCCCCATCTCCCTCCATGCTGGGCAGGGACCATAGGCTGGGGTGTGACAGGGCCAGGGAAGGGGACGCTGGGGGCCTCTGTGCTGGCCTGGGTGGGTGAGCTTCGCCCGGGGGGCCCGGGTGCAGGCGCAGGGACAAGTTGGAACCTACCACTCCAAAAACACATCTTGGAGTACACGGCCACCGACTTCATCCTTTTTCCAAAAGTAGGGGAGGTGTCCTAGGAGGAAACTGGAAGAAACAGGAAACTTGAGGCTCCCTGCAGCCCCCCTTAGAGCACGCCCCTCACCCACGGGGCCACAGCGGCCCAGGTCACAGGCAGAGGACCACGGCACAGGGAAGTGATGGCCCTGGCCTGGGGTCACCATGCAGCAATGCAGATCGGATGTAAAACCCGGGTCTGCCTGGCACCGAAGGCCTCCTCGGAGCAGAGACGCTTCTGCTCCTCCCTGTCCCCTTGGCCAGAGGTCCGAGTGGGCACAGGAGGGACAGTGACATCGTGCAGAGCCCCCTGGCCTCTGAGGCACAGGGGGGGCCGGGAGTCATGCCGGGCCTCACCTCTTAGCCTGGATCACCTGTTAACTTATGAATCACGGACCCCATTCGAGATGGGGCAGCCTGCAGAGCTGAGATCACCTGCTCCCAAGTGTGTGCCCCGTACCAACGGCTGCAAACGCTGGCTCGTGGGGGGACCATTTATGTAAGCAGGCTGTGATCACCTGACCCGCAGCGGGCCTGTTGGGGGCACCTTGAAGGGCATTTCAAGGTGCCCGTGACTTCCCGTCCCCTGTGAGGTGTTATTCCAATCACGCTCAGCGCAGCGTCCTGAATGCTCACAACAGAATTGCAATTGGAGCTTTCTGGGTCACAGCAATCAGATTCTCCCGGGGAGAGGTAGAGAGTAAAAAAGTAAGCGAGCAAATAAATAAAATGCCAGAGAGAAAAATGCACAGAGTTCTGGCAGTAGGTGTGAGGATGGTCATTCGACATACACACAGGGAACGTCCCTCAGAGAAGGTGGCCTGCAAACTGAGGCTGCCTGCAAAAAGGGCTCTGGGGGAGGGGCATCGCAGGCTATGGGAACTGCAGGTGCTAAGGCCCTGAGGTAGCCTGTGCTCAGACAGCGAGCAGCCGCGTGGGTAGCGAGGCTGGCTGTAGGATCAGGTAGGGCACTGGGGCTGTTGTCCAGACCTGTAGGAGGTGAGCACAGCAGGAAGGGATGTGCTGCTGGCTTCAGCGAGGGGTGCAAGATGTGTCACGGATGACTCTGGGGCTTGGGCCCCGGCAGCCAGGTAGTAAAATGAAGAGACCCAAGAGGAGCTTACTGGGCAGAGGATGTCATGGGATGGGTGGACGCAGTCCCACCAGGCTGTGGCCCTGCTCAAAGGGAGCACAGGCCCGAAGTTCCAGAAGAGGAACGCACCCCAGAGCAGCCAGCACCAATGACTCAGTCCCCCCACCTCGGCTGGGGTAGCTCTGCGCCTGTGTGCACTGTGCCGGCCCCCAGGGCTGCCAGGACAACGTGCCTCAGTTTCCCCAGGGGTAAGTTCCTCTTCCGGCTTTCTTACCTTTTTTGGCTATTCCCTCCCACGCTTGTGCACCCCTTGACTCCTTACACCCCATTTCTGTCTGAGGATTGGCTTTGGGAGGAAGAACCAGGCACGAGTGGATGAAACCAGGAGCTGGGGTTTGGACCTGGTAGGTCTGCGGTGTCCACTGGGCGCCTTGCAGCAGCGGGGAGCAGACAGGAAGTCTGGGGTGCGGGTCCGCTACGGACAGGTGGCCTCACCGAGGCCTGGGGTGAAACTAGAAAGGGAACTAAGAGCCATTCCGCCCGCTTCCTGCAGGGGGCGCTGGTGAGAAGGCAGGGGGCGGGCGCCAGGAACAGGCTGGTAAGGCTGCGTGGGACTTGTAGCTCAGAGACCAGCACGGGCCGCCAAGGACAGGTCAGGCCGCAAAGGGACGGCCGAGGGGACAGACACGCGGGGGCTGCAGGAAGAAGGAAGCCAGGAGGGAGCACGAGGGGGCACTCGCTCTGTCCGAGGAGAGAGGAAGGCGAGGCCGCAAGCTGGGTGCGGCCACACGGTGTCACCCGCGACCTCGAGCGGAGCAGGTTCACAGCAGCCAGCCCGCTGGTGCCGGGTTCAAGAGAGAGAAGCTGAGCAGGGGATGGAGGAGAGGAGCGGACGGAAGGGGAGGCAGGACGCTGCCCGGAGAGGGGAACCCTGGCCGTCGCACACACTCTGCCAGCGGGCTCACGACACTCCCCAAGCTACGCGTGCTGGGGACGCTCTCAGGTTTGAGCGTCGGAGTGACCCTGGACCCTGCCTGCCTGTTTAAAGCCTCCACCCTGACTGCTGGGGTCCACGGCCCCCTGGGAAGGAAAGCAGAGGGCAGCGAGTGGGGAACCCACGGCCGGGCAAGAAAGGGAACTAAGAACCATTCCTTCCTGTTCCTACAGGGGGCGCTAGTGAGAAGACGGGGGCGCTCGCTAGAAACAAGCGGGTAAGGCTGGGTGGGACTTGTAGCTCAGCCCTAGGCACAAAGGGAAGGGATAGAAGCCCACTGGTCAGACCCTGGAAATAGAGGGAACATGGCAGGGAGACCAGCGCAGGGAGGCAGGGCAGAGCAGAGAGTGGGCCTGCCTGCACTGCGGCACACCCCTCTCCTCTAACCTGTGCAGGGCCGGGGTTACCTATGGGGGGAGAAAGCCTTGGGCAGCAACCATAGCTGAGGGCATCTGGCGGGCCCACTGCAAGGCCACCCCGATGGAGAAGGCAGGCACAGTGGCTGAGGCGTGAGCCGCCCGCTAGAAGTAAGGGTGAGGGCCACACTGGCCCATGCCGGGGATCCATTGGATGCCCTACCCAACACAGCCAACAGTGCCACCCCCGGCTGGACCCAGCCCGCTCCTTGCTGAAGAGGCCCCTTCCTGGGCGAATTGGAGAGGGAGAAGAACCAGCACTGTCCAGGAGTCAAAGGTAAAAAATGTATTCCAAGAGGAACAAAACAAGGAGAGAAGAGAGAGAAAGATTGATTTCCTGGTCAGGCTGACACCCACTGCACGGACCAGGACAGCGGACACTGCTGAGGAATTCAGAGCCTTGTCAGGGAAACAGAGAAGCAAGGGAGGTTTGTGTGGGGTGGACATGTGGAGTCTGAGGTTTTGCCTTGACACCGCCGTGCAGCGGAAGGATGCAATAGGAGCAGAGGGAAGGGACACTCAGGGAGGGTCCCTGCAGGAGAGGGCTTCCTGCAGAGTACAGAGGCTGGGGGCGGGAGCGGAACACCCCGAAACACCAAGGGACGAGCGCCACTGCGGGGGACTCATTACATGGCTCTCTTGGCAGCCTCGGGGTGCTAATCATGGTTTGAGCATGCAGGCTCTTAACGCCAAAGCAGCTGATTTGTGCTAGAAGAGGTTCCAGAGCTTTCACTTGGTTCAGTTTGATATCTGACCCCCAACCAAGTTTTAATCCAAAGTCTTTTTACATACTCATTGTTCAGTTCACCTCCCTAGAATAAAGGGCCCAGCTGTGATTATAATCAGCCTCCTGCCTGTCCTCCACCCACTCCCACAAACCTGGAGGTCACAGGCAGCCTCTGTGGGGCAGAGACGGGGAAACTTCAGCCATGGAAATGAAAAATCTGGACACACGCTGCTGCAGAGATCCCCCTGAAGCATTATGCTAAGTGAGAGAAGCCAGACACAGACGGTCACATAATGCGTGATTTCCTCTCTACAGGAAGTGCAGGGGCCAGGGCTCGAACCCACGCTGACAGAACGCAGATTAGTTCTCTCCAGCTGTGGGGTGTGGGGTGGGGAGAGGTGGTCAATGGGTTTGAGTTTCCTCATAGAATGATGGATCCCTTCTGGAATTTCTGGGAATGGTTGCATAACTTGGTGACTCTACAAAAAAGCCACGGAATTGGTTTAACACACTTCAACAGGGTAGATTTTGCATTATACAAGTTATAGCTTGACTTTTTAGAAAAGATGTAGGGAAAGGGGATTGATTTTCTTTTTCAGACAGACCTGACCGGGTCTGCAATCCCAGGAGCTCTTGGGTTTGTGAGAAGTCCGAGGAATGGTGAGACTCCTAACAATAAGTACTGAGCCCACTCAATTCCAACCTGGGTGAAGGGTCTGACACTGGGGACGGGGGTGAGCATGTAGCTGGTGGAGCCCCTGGGAGGGTCCCGCTGCTTGGGCTTCCTACTGTGTATGGTCCAGGCGCTGCCGTGCTAGAGCCAAGGGTACAGCAGGGGATGAGACAGACATAGGCCCCATGGGAGAGACAGACACTTAACAAAAGGTTGCACAAATCATTACCCAATTACCATTATAAGGTGAAGGAAAATGTACTCAATGACTTTGCTAGGGATTTATATAATGAATGGAATATATTCAGGGGTTGAACAAGAGGGCTGAGGCAGGCCTGGAAGGCCAGCTTGCAGGCAAGGGACAAGGAGTCCTGAGGTAGGAGTGTGTCCCAAGGTAGGAGAGGTCACAAGGAGGAGGGAGAGCCTGCGGGAGACCAGTTGTCTCCCGGAGCACCAGACAGGCATCATCATCACCAACCCCACCTAAAAGGAGCCTGGGCTTCTGACGTCACACCTCTAACTTGGGCTGGAAGTGGACACCTTCTGGAACGTTCATGACTGAGGTTTTAAAAAGCGTGTCTAATACGTTGTTTATTCACTCATTCAACAGATATTTATTGAGGAGCTGCAACGTGCCCGGCGCTGGGGGTCCACGAGCCGACACAGCGTCCCTGCCCTCTGGGGCTCACATTCTAAAGCAGAAGACACAGGCAACAGGTGCACAGACAGGCAACAGGTGACTTCGGGGGATGGCCCCCGAGGGGCGGGGGACTGCGGGCTGGGGAGACCGTTTAACGCGAGCAGAGGAAGAGCCTGCTGTTCTGGGCGGGGGAAAGGGGAATGCGGACAAGGCGGCGGGGGTGGGGGTGGAGGGCGGAGGAAGCAAGGAGGGGGCTCGATCGTATAGGTCCAGCTCGGCTCTGAGACGCAGCAGGGGCCTTGCTGGGTCCTTGCTTAATTTGGAACTGGGTTTTCTAGCTCCAAAGTGACCGGAAGCCCTCCGCACAGGGACCTGAATGCCACTTCTACTCTAACCTGGAGGGGGCGCTGGGTAGGGTCCAAGAACGGACTACAAGCGCTGAGGCGACACATGGGGCATCCCAGGACAGACACAAGACAGACACACC